GGGGCGTCCCCACGGATCCCGCTCCAGTGTCTCCAGCATCTCGCGGCGGGCCTCGCTCTTGGCCCGCTTTATCGCTGCCTGAAGGGTCCTCTTGGCAACCCTGTAACCCGCTAACAGCTCCGCCTCTCTCGCTGCCGCATCTTCGGGGCGGCGACGCCTCCTGCGGAACCTGGACCACCGGCGGCGCGCGGTCACGCAGGCTTGACGCAGCCGTGCGATCTCCGGCGACCACCAGTAGACCTGGCGCCTTGCAGTATTGGGCTGAGCCCTAGGCATCGCCGCATCGCAGACGCGGGTCATGGCCTCCCGGAACCACTGTGCCTCAGCATCGACGTCGACAGGCCTGTCCGGCGCAGGAGCCCAGGCCTGTACGATGGCGGCTTCCAGGAGGAGGTCGCGATCTAAGCGCTTGAGCGCCCAACGTGGTTCAGGTGGTGCCGGTCTGACCGGCGCGCCATCTGCAGGGGCGGAGACGTCAAACCGAATATATCGGTGATCCGAACCTGTCTCCTCCCCGACAACGACGCGCCAGCCCCGGACACGACGCGCTAGCGAGGGGCATGCGAACGAGATGTCCACGATCGAACTACCCCTCGCCGTCACGAACGTGGCCACGGCCCCCCGGTTTAGGAGAACTAGGCCGAATCTTTCAGCCCAGTTCTCCAATGCCCTGCCCCTCGGGTTCGTGCGCAGGGAACCCCAAGCCTGCGACCAGGCGTTGAAGTCCCCCAGCACAAGAACCGGGTGGGGGCGACAGGCATCGACGACGACGGCCAGCTGAGCGAGCCATTGCTCGTACTCAGTTATGTTTCGGTTCGGCGTGAAATAAGCGGCCACGACCGCTATATCTCCAACTATCGCCGCTACACAGCCCCGTCCCCTTGCAACTACTGCAAGAGGTGGAGTGCCGGCTGCGGTACCGTGCACTAGGGCCGCCGTGCCGTCCAAGTCGGTCTCCCAGGCAGGCCCGAGAAACCGATGGACATATGGCTCGGCGATAGCGGCGATGTTGATGGACCACTGTGCCATGCTCTGGAGCAGAAGATCCTGAGCATCGGCACCGTGGCCTACGTTCACCTGGAGGATGCGGAGATGTGGGTCCATCACTGGACTTCCATCCCCGCATCCCGCAGCGAACTTTGCGGCTGTCCAGCGGCACTCTCCGTCTGGATCAGCGGCTCGGAGGCGGAAGGTCGGCCTCCCGGCTTTGGTCGCGATAGGGCACAGGCCTTACCACCAACCCGGTGGTCGGCAGGCTTGCCCTCCGCTGCGCACCTAAAGCAACGCAGCGGAGCGTTGCAGCCACCCGCCTTGTGACCGGGCTGGCCACAGCGGAAGCATCGGTCACCTACGGTGGCCTCCGCCGTGCAGTGCACCCCTACGTGACCCACCGACAGGCACCTGAAGCACCTTGCCGGTCGGGCCTGCAGGAGCCGTGCCTGCGCCCTCAGGAAACCTCCGACCAGGAGGCTCCGTCCATCGGCGACCTTCTGGGCCGCCGCGATGGGGCAGCTGACAACCGCTGCCCCCTGTCCACCGGGGCCGAAGCGTATTGCTCCGGCCTTCACGCTGTCCAGAGGGCAGCTTCCCGTCTCCGCCACGGCGAGTCTGAGCTCGTCCGCCGTGACAGAGTCGTCCAGGCCCGTGATGCGGACTTCGGCGCATTTAGTGGGCCTGGACACTCGGACGTCAGCTGCATCCAGTGACTCCCTCAGCTTAGCCGCTAGGGCATCGGCTTTGGGGCCACTGGTAGCGCCGGCTACCTCGAGGAGCCGGGCTCCCGTCCGTGTGTTTTTACACCGGACGCCCGGAATCTCGAGGGCTTTGAGGTCCACGTTGGCCTTGACTTTCGTCAAGACCTCGGCGTACCCCACGCCCCTCTCCGCTGCCTCCGCCGTCAAAGTGATAACGACGGCCGAGGAGCGAGGGGCGCGGAGCTTCCTCGGCGCTCCCTTCGCGGCGGCGGCGGCGTCCCTCCTCGCCTTCTTGGCCGCTTTTTTGGCGGCCTTCCGCCTCTTTTTGTTGTCCCCGGCCACCGTCCAGCCCCGCTCCAACGAGCGCTGTGCGGTGTCAGCCGGGGCCGAGACTGGGGCTTGGGTTGGGGCCGCCTTCCCCCTCCCTTTGCCCTTTCCGGCCTTCTGGGGCGGGGGCGCTGATGACGGCCCAGCCACCCTAGCTGCTGGCTGGGCTGTTAGGCCCGCCTTGGCAGCGGCCGCATATGTCGCCTTTGGCGGAGCCAGAGGTGGGCGACAACGGGCGCTCTCTACAGCGGAGATGCGCCTCATTATCCGCTCCTCCATCTCCGCCATGAGTCGGACTAAGCTCGGCTCCGGCTCCGGGGCGGACAGCGCCAACGGTGCCGAAGGCGCTGGTGTGGCACTAGCGTGAGCACGAGCCTGTGCGAGATCCGCCTCGAGGCGGGCTCTCTCCCTAGCGTGGGCCTTGCTCTCGGCCACGAGGAGTCTGCCCGCCTCAATTATGGAGCGCACTACCGCTACCAGGGCCTCCTGTTGGGGGCCCCCGGCCAACCCGGACGTCCGAAGCAAGCAATCAGCCTGGCCGATTGCCTCCTCAATCCGGTCGACGGGGTTGCCGGTTTTGCCACCCTCCTTCTCGCTCCTCACCTCGGTCACGTCTATCGACCTCTCGGACGCGACCCTCTTCACGGGAGCTTCGTAGGAGCGTAGGGGCTCCTTCTTCTGCTCCTGGGCAACCCTAGGGAGTCGGCCTCCGCCGCGAGCGCCTCTGCGGCTTGTGCCGACTTTGGGAGCCGAGGCCTCATCGCTCGAGGCCGACTCCAATTGCCTCTTCAGGCCAAGGCGAAGCGAGCGCCTTTTGCGCTTTGGAGTACCCTTCTGGTGCTGCTCCGCAGCTGAGACCATCGGGGTACTCGCTTCGCTCATCTCTGAGGCAGTGTCGGTGTTCGACACTACCTCCAGGTTTTTTGCGTCCTCCGCGTTTTTTTTGGGTGCCGGATTTACTGCTCGGCGACGGGCAGGTTAGACAGAGGTTGCTCCCCCCAGAGTACGTTTGGGAGCTGCCGGAGCCGTCTGGCTCCGGGAGGGATTCTCCAGACGCAGTGCGTCTGGTACCCTCCTGGGTAGATTTAAAAATCTTTGGGCCCATGTCATAAAGTTAGTTTAACGTCCTTCGACGGGGACGCCTTCGGCACTGGACTCCCTCCAGCGACTCAGCCCCTTGCCAGGCGTCAGAACGTGGGCTTAGAGCATTTTTTATAGAGGTTTACGTCCTCGCGGATCCGAAGATCCACCGGTCCTGTCCATTCAGGATTACGGCTGGGCCGGACGGGGTCTGCACCAGACCGGGTCCGTCCGCCCCAAGGTTTTTTATAGAGGTTGCCTTCCTCGTAGCCCTCGAAGAGCCGTCATTCCTGACCGTTGCCAGTCAGGGTTACGACATGGCCGGACGGTGGTCTGCGTCAGACCAGTGTCCCCCACCTCTGGACAGAGCCAGCTGCAGTAGACCCGTCCGCCCCCAGCCCGCTCTCCCCTATGCCCTCTGCCAAACAGAGGGACACGCGGAAAGCGGCCCTCCGAACAGCCCTTGACGGGCCGTTCCCACCTCAGCCGGAATTGGCCGCAGGCGGCAGCGCCTCCCCCACCTAGGGAGAGAGGCGCTGCCGTCTCCGTTGCCCAGGGTGCACCACAAGGAGGTTCCGGACCACGCACCCCCGTCTAAATAACCCTAATATTGTGGATTATTACATACTTATATACTAACTAGCATTTGCCCGCGGTTCCACCTGGATGTGTGTCGGTTATCGCGTTAAAAATTAGCCTATGTCCTTTCTCAAGAATCAAACTATCTCCATGCTTAATTTCATCTAAATTGGTTTAGCGGTTATTGTTTCCTCATACAAACTTCCATTCCCCTTTTCTCACCCTTAAAGGATAATTTCTGGGATAAAAACTATCCTATGTCCTTTACCGGGACTCAAACTATCTCTATACCAAATTTCATCGAAATCAGTTCAGCGGTTTAAGCGTGAAGAGGTAAGAGAGATACAGACTATCGCATTCATAACTTGACTTCGCATTAATAACTTTGACTGCACATATGGCGTAGTAGTTTAAGCGGTCACCTCGCCGCTTCCTACTGCGCTAAGTGTTGTGGGTTCGATCCCCACATGAGACAACACTTTGTGTGATCCACAAATTGTTGTTCTGAGTCTGGGTGTCCTTTGTATCCGTTTCATGTATGTTTGTAAAGTCCTCTGCGACACAGGATTTATACCTAGTGCGGGACTTTCTTTTTAAAAGAAAAGAAAATAATAATAATAACATTAGTACAGATATAAGTATGTTTATCAGAAGTCTGGTTACTATAGTTCTGGCTCAGCTTCGTTTGGTATCGGACAGCCGTGTTTAAGATGTATCAAATTATTATTATAAAAATAATAATATTCTTTATTGACATACATATTGTGCAATTATAACAGGGTTCTCTGACACTCGCGCTAGTATATAGTGTGTTGCAGGTGCCAGTGTCTTCCCCCAATATATGTATTAGCAATAGTATTTACATCAATATTCTAAAAGACCAAAGACAAAGAACATAGTAAATTAAAATTATACAAAGAATACAAATGAAAAAAAAAAGAAGTAAAAAAAAAACTCTAAATGTCATAGTATGCTTGCATATGTATATATGTCTGTGCGCCTGTGTATGCGCTAGTGCGCGCCTGTGCGCGCATTATTTATTTAATTAGGAATAGAAATGAAACCACTAACAGCTTTTAATAGACATTAATTTTTTGCTGGACATAGGCCTGTCCTTAGAAAGGAGGTTTTAGCCTACTAAACCATGCTGGCCAGACGGGTTGGTATAGAAATGAAAAGCTCATTTAGTAAGAGGATATTTTTGTTTTTATTTTATTTCTCAAACGCAACCGGTGCTTCTCACTGTTATTTCTACACATTCTGAATTTCAATATTTCTCAACATGGTTCGTAAGTTTCAATGGATTTTAATATTTTCCAGGAGCGTGTATGGAGTATCTTGCCGATATTAATATTCACAGGATCCGCATTCCTTCTGACCGGTCTCTGTCTAACACTGCCGGAGACTAAGGGTCTACCGATGCCACAGACTAGAGCTGACGGTGAAAAGATCATCAATGAAAACACTTTATTTGGGTCAGTATCCGTAGCCTCAGCTTCATATGATGTTTGAAATTGAATTAATTTAAAAAAATCTAGGCACTGAACTCAAAACTTCAGTGTAATTACGATTTCTCTAAGTCATAGGAAGTTGAAGCCGAATCCGTCCTTTTTTCAAACGTTGTGATGCCAAGAGACGTGGTGTATTTAGCCACTAACTCTTTGACATAAATATGTTACATCCTTACCAACATACTATGTCGCATTTACATGATTGTTAAACAATATGTTAACTGATGCTTGAGTCTTTAAATTAAAGCCGCAAGTTATCTATATCAAAGAAAATTAACTACTAAGATTATTATTTGCATGTTGAATTCTAAGTGTGTTTTTAAACTTTTTATTCTGACAGATCAAAAAAGAGAATTACAACACCAGCGGTACCTTGAAGTCCAAGAGTTACGTCAACTGTATCTTCATCGGTGATAAGATTACATTTATTAATATTTAATTTAAATGAAATTAGTAAACAAATATTAAAATAATTGTGATAGTTTTCTAACTAATCTATTTAAACTTTGTTTTAAACAGTATTTAGTTGGCAAGTCAGGCACATCATCGAAATCAAACGAAGCGAATATGTGAAGAAAAATTTTTAACCACAAGACCAGTTACTAATTAAGACTTTAAGTGTTGGCAATAAACTTTAATATTACAATGGTTGAAGCCTTATAGTTTACCTTATTTATGGATTTTTTGTTGAGGAAAAAACTAGTATTGTATACAGATACGATCATCATTTGAATACAGAAAGGATAGGCCCGTTGTTTCAGTGGTTAGTGACCTGACTGCTAAGCCGTAGATTGTGGATTCGATCCCCACTCAGGATAAATAATTATGAGATAAGCACGGTTTAGGTGTAATAATCTCTAATGTGTATGTATTTAGAAATATATGTAGATATGTTTATCAGCACCGTAGCACGGAGTCTGCCTAGCTTGGTATCAGACGGCCGTGTGTAAGATCTGCGAAGTTATTATTATGATAGGCTATAAGTTTTTTATTTCTATAACAGCAAAATAACAATATTTATTTACTGATTTTTCATTTGATACTCTACTTTGAAGCGAATTGTTGAAACCAAACTTATATGTTTTAAATTACCTGGTTGGAAGGTAAGCCTCATTAAAATAATAACTAACCGTGTAGCATACACGGTTAATCATTACTTTGTGATTGTGAGCATTAATTTTGAGATGATGAAGGCAATATCTTGTTTGAAACTTTATTGCTATGGTAAGATATATTGTGAGTATCGTGCATTTCATTTTCAAGCAGCAATTTATCTTTGATGGATGCCTTTATTATTATTTATAGGTGATTGGATGTACTAAACTAAAGAGTGTTTTTAGAATAAGCACTTTCATAAGCGGTATTTTTATATATTAAAGACATATATACCTATACATTCCGTGCCTCGGGGAGCACGTTAAGCCTTCTTGGTTCTCAAACGAACATATGTGGCAATAGTTAAGGAACCAAGGACATTTTAGGGCTCCAACTGCGAGCCCTAAATAGTTAGACAAAAAGTATTTCTTCAGAATATCGATATTGCTTAGTACTAAGGTTGTGGAGGTCTGATGGCAGTCGCTCCAGAAGTCCAGCTTCAGAGTAGAAATCGGAGTTCATTAGCCGTGTCGTGGTAGACTTAAAGGCGACCCCAACCCAGTGTGGTAAAAACGCTCGGCGGAAGATATGGACCGGTATAATTATTTACATACGAAGACCGCTAGGTGTCCGAAATACAACTAAATACGTGTAAAAAGTTGTACTATGAATACATTGGTAGATACGGTGACATAAGTGAAGCACGATAAAACAGTTAAAATGATATTCTGCTTTTGTAAAAAAAGGGCAAAAAAAAAAATAGTAGCAAATTTATATTGCCATATAAAAAAATATTATAAAACACTTCTCTTGTTTGTAAATGTTTTCAAATTTCGAAATGAATTTGACATACGTTTAAAAGCAAAAACACTAAAAACACAATATTAAAAAAAATGTTTTTTGTTATTTGTTTCTGACCAACCCTTTGGTTTTGACCAAATTTGTTTTACACACCTTTGGTCAAAAAAGACAAAAAAAAAAAACAAAAAAAGGGATTATTACTCATGCTTCCGGTTAGCGCATAAGTATACGGAGTGACACCACCTTTTTAGCCCGTGGGTGTCGTAAGAGCCGACTAAGTGAGCAAACAGCACTGCAAAAAGAAGGAAAACTTGACACAATCCCTAAACCAACTACTGTGGCCTACACCTCCTATCTAAGGAGAGGTCTATGCTAGCATTCCCAGGAGGTTGGCAACATTAGATTTTAAATGAATATGAATCGAGGAAATCTCCTCGGGTAAAACTATGAATATTTTCTGATAAAATCACACAGTGTTCCTTTATAGAGACACTAAAGAACTGCTTTACACTGGATTTTCTTTGAAGCCGTGATGTCTGTCATGTTGAGTCGGCCCATGTGTGCATGGCTCTTCCACGGTTAATACTCCAGAAATGTATGTTCCTGCACTTAGAGGTTCAACATGCATTAGTTTACCTATTCACATCTAACAATCCTGAGCTAATAGCTCAAAGGTCAAGACCAGGGTCCTTGTGACCTGTCCCAATCGAAAATAAATACAATTTATCCAAATATAACCTGTACGGAACGAGAGTTAAGGCATATTCAGCTCCTTATTATTAATAAAATTACTGAAAAATTACAAGAATTTTGTGTTCATCAATCATCAACAGCCTATAATAGACCACTGCTGGACATAGGCTTCTCTTTAGAAAGGAGGTTTTGGCCTACTATACCACGCTGGCCAGACGGGTTGGTATAAGGTTTGTTTCAAGTTTTCCTTCTTTTTGCAGTGCTGTTGTCCTGTGCAGTTTGTTCCCTTAGTCGGCTCTTACGACACCCACGGGATGAATAGGGGTGGTGACATTTCGTATTCTTAATCCGTCACCTCGGTTTATGTTATGGGTTCCAAAAACTTTAAGTACAAATAAATCAAAAATATTTTACACAACTATGAATGTAGGTACAAGTACTACATTAGAATTTATTATTATAATTATAATGTTCTATCTCGGCCATATTCTTTTAATAAGAAATTCTGTTTACTGCAGGAAGTACGGATCGTATCTTACTTTACCATAATTAACAACCTTGACGTATAGTTAATTACTAATAGTAAATGAACGGTCCCAAAAAAAATCGATTACGTACCAAAAATGGTTTATTTTGGTGTCATTGGTCACAACGGATGTACGCTTTAATTTCCATAGACAATTTTAGTGGCTGTATTTGTATTTTAAGCCTTGTTCGTAATCGAGATAATTAGATCAATTTCACGGAGGGTGTCTATGTTTAAGAAGTACGTTTAACTGCGAAATCAAAGCTTCTTTTTTTTAAACTTAATGCACATGTTGTACAATGGCGGACTCAATGCCATGAGGCATTCTTTCCCAGTCGATTATTTACGTAGAAAAATAACAGGGCTGGGAAGCTGTATATGTAAAGGTCTACGACTAATACGACTACGTAATACGACTCTGTGAGAACCTTTTTTGTTTCGTTTAAAAACCCACGGATCACCCAGAATAGAGGTTAAAGAGAAATGTTGAATTTGAACTCGAACCGACTAAGACACTCCACTTTAATCTGAGCCTAAATAAAATTAGAAACCTATTTAAAAAATATTTTTTGGTATTATTTATTTACTAAAAGTTGCTATCACATTAAACTCATGTATTGGAAGCAATAAATTTATAAAAAAACCTAGTTTAGTGCACAGCATTTTAAGGTGTCACAACATGCACCAATAGTGACACGAGAGCCTTTGAGTTACACCTCCCCCTCCAGAATTAGGGAGGCGGAGGTTAGGCCTACGGTAAGAGATGCAACGATAGAATTGCTTTACACTGGTTTTCAGTAAGGCCTTGGTATCACCATGGTTGAGTCAGCCCATGTGCCAGAGCATGGCTCTTCAAAAGAAGTCACTGCAGCGGATGGACTGGCGAGGACCGGGATATTTGGCGCTCCTTTGGAGAGGCCTTCGTTCAGCAGTGAACGGCGATAGCTTAATGATACTTTCTCATTTAATCAAACAAAAGAAACACAATCTTTTCAGATTTATTTTATTAGTACAGGTAGCATAGATTACCTACCATAGATTACGTTAAATCAATTTAAAGACAATTCCAACAAACGAGCACAGATTAAAATCAATCTTAACATGTCAGGAGCTTATCAGGACTTAGCACTATGGCTGGAAATTTACTACTAACCGTGTGTGGAGCAGTCTGCACGAGTCGGCGCTGATAAACACCTGTATATGCTGATATGCCAACGCCCTGGCGTTCACGTTTTTAAAAGCATTCACATCCTCTCAATTGAAAGCCCTCGCCATGTATAGACTAGACTTTAAAAAAAGGAGCAGGTCATCAAATTGGTTGTAATTCAAATCAGTCATTCGTGAACTGTTTTGGACAATTATGATGTTTCATTTTTGGAGGATATTATATACCTTATGTTTAGTGCAATTCAAATTTAAAGAAAAATATCGTCCCTAGAGTTCGAGCGGGTTCGATTCCCACTCGAGCCAAACATTTGTGTGCATGAACATTAAATGTTTGATTTGGTCTGGGTGTTTCTTTGTATAATATGTATGTATTTACAAAAAAAAGTATAAATGTATTTATATCAGTTATTTAGTAGCCATAGTACAAGCTCTGCTTAGTTTGGGACTAGATGGCGTTGTGTGAATGTGGTAAAATATATTATTATTATTATATTATTATTATTTAAATTTATTATGCATTCATCTCTTACCTGTGTACTCAATCAACATTATACTTTGAATACAACAATCAACATCCGCAGGATTACCTACAGAAAAGTACATATGCTACTTTTCATCCAGATAGGTAGTACCATACCTACTCCTTGAAATTTATGTCAGTCTTTATTCGAATATTATTACGTTAGTCTTAAGTCCGTGTGAAAGAAAAACGTATCAACTTTGGGAGATCCGTGCTTCAACACAAAACGGCCGGCTCAACCGGAGCGATACCACGTAGGTAAACTTATTTATTTAGAATGTGGGTACCTAATATTGTAAGTAACAAAATCACAACTCTTCTTTCTCATTAAATTCTTTTAAAAGTTGTTACTTATACCTGTTTCAATAGGCCGATATTTATCTACGTATCGTATTCGATTCAAGGTTAAAGATAACAGTATTTACAATTAATCGATTAGATAAATAAAATTAAATATCATTATTATAATTCAAACTAAAACTATACATGAAAAAAAAAAATTTGTCTGTCTGTTACATTGCCACACTTTTGTGACTACCTCATACGACCCGATCATAATTGGTCATTTCATCATCATCATCATGATCAACAGCCTTCAGTAGTCCACTGTTGGACATAGGCCTCACTTTATCAAGGATTGATTGGTGTGGTTTTTGTTTCAAGTCTTCCTTCTCTTTGCAGTACTGTAGTTCTGCGTAGTTTGCTCCCTGACACCCACGGGATGAATAGGGAGGGTGACACTCCGTATTCTTAATCCTTCACCGTGACCATGTGTCTCACAAAAAACCAGTGTTAAGTACTTATCAATACTATTTCGTTGCGTTGTATGCCGTGGAAGTAGGTGCCTTGGATTACCAAGAGATTCAGTAATCTCTTTTCTTGAATTAATATCCAAAGCGGCATATTTAGACTTGTATCAAATATGGTTAAGTGAGGGGATTACACAGCAAATAGTGGAGATGAGCACTGACGCGTTGCATGGTAAGGCAAGTACTCTCTAGACCTACTCCTCGTACGCAGGTGACAGGTGCTGTCGCAGTAGCATGTATTGCCCCCATCTATCACTCGATGGACCCGGCACGCGCACGGTGAATCCACGGAAGGCTAATAAACAAGTCTCATACCTTTAAAAGTAAAAAAAAGGTTTCAATATTTTGATGAACCAGACTAAAACAGTATAGCGATTAATAGAACTTGGAGACTAAAAAAATTTTATAATCACCGCAGGCGAACTCCCAGCAGGCGCCAGTTGGTTTTTAGCTAGCCTACGGAATTAAAAAAATAATTCCTTTTACGTGATATAGCTAATGATTGTAATTAAAAGTTTAGCATCTAATCTTATTGCCATTTTTATCACAATCAGGAAGTATTTTTTCCATACAGATAATAAAAAAACTACTTATCAATTAGGCAACGAATGATATTGCTATGGCATAATTAGCCTTTTTTGTTGGTAGGTTGGTAATCACACAGTTTTAATTACGTTCTGATTTCGATTTTTATATCAATTTATATCAAATGTAATCTTTATTAGCTGATTCATCTCTATATAAATATATTTTATTATTTTTTTCAACCTAAGGCATTCTATACGCGTCTGTGAGAAGTGTGACACAGAGAATATGAATATATCACTAAACATATTAATATTATCAAAAAACCAAGACAGATACCAAAAAAAATACTGGGACTGGAACCCACAACTTTCAGCACAGCATTGAGAATCACTAACCACTCGACCATCAGCCTCGTCTTGTCAACCAGTCAGTTATCGTTGATAGCTGGATTACATATAATCTTAGTGCGATAGCCAAAAAAAACTTGAACAGGTTTCAACTAGTTCTCTATTCAAAAAATGATTCATAATTTATAAATATTATTATCTTTACATGTAAACTAGGAAAGATATGCTTGAAATGCAGCCCAATTACTAAAATTGTTTACTAAAATACCGATTTAGCTGTATTATACATACGTAAACAAGATTGGGTGGTTCCATCGCAAACATGTCATCTCAATGTAGTAATTTCTAGTTTAATTTCTTAATGTTATGAATGTAAGTAGCATACTGAATCATCATTTAATATTTTTTACTTTGTCAACACACATGGACCCAGAGACTTGTCTGTGTATGACAAAGTAAAAAATGTGTTGCAACATAACATAGGAGATCCATTCGACATAAATGTGCTGACTCGATCTTACAGTTGTCTCAGGCCGTCTTTACAAAATACCGGTATTAGGAACTACAGTCGTTGCTTTTCACTGAGTGAGCGAGGTTATCGGAGGAACAAAGCCAGGCACAAAAGACGTCCAAGCACGTGGTCTAGATATTTTGGCTGATTAATTGTGGGTACAAACTTGCGTTTTTGGCGGATTCGTCGTAGAACTTTTACATAGGTGACTTTTTGACGTTGGTTATTTTTTTCTGCTACTTGTACAAAATCTTTAGATAGTATAAGATACAGTGAAATCCTTCGACCTGTTATGCGTCTGTTTCTATATTTGGTAACCCTTCATAAACCACACATATTACTATAATAACATGTAATTAAATAGAAAAAATCTATATTTTGACTTACATTATCGGATAAACCTTACAAGATACTTAAAACTGTTATAGTTATACCCGTGGAAGGCCAGCGCGGATCGCTAAAGATTTTTATTTGAAGTGAAATATCTGTTTAGGTATACTTTATTCAATTCAATATATAATTTTACAGCTAACCAGAATAATTCACTATAAAACAATCACTTATGTCTTATATAATTCAAATTCATTCATCTAACTACGTATTTTACGTTGTACATTCAGATATTTTCATGAGCTTTTACTTTAAACTTCAAACTTTTATTTTTATGTAACTAAAATGACAGATCAACAGACACATTTCTATTTTTTGCGGTAAGTTTTGAGGTAAGGTTATAACATTCTCGCAGATCTCAGCATTCGGTGTTTGCATTTCAAATATTGTACACGCCATTTTACATTACAGTACCGGTGTAGAATAATTTGTGTGTGCCATTATGTCTTTGAAACAGCAGAAAGAACACGTCAGTATATTTTGTTTTTGTTTTTTACATAACATTATTTATTAGTCTTTAATGTAATTGTAAATAATTATAGTTACTGTAATTACCTTTTCTTTACACTATAAAGCTACTTAGTTAAACTTAAAATTGCCAAAAGGTTTGTTGTTTTTGCACTTTGCTAGTCACAAGTGAAGTGGTTACAAGTGACGTTTATTACCGGTGATTAATAAAACATAAGTATGGTATAGTACCATAGTCCTGGCTCTGGCTAGTTAAGGATCAGACGGCTGACGATCAGTGTGTTGTTATTATTATTATTTTAGTGTAATTGTAGCCTTGTGGTGACGGAATAAGAATACGGAATAAGTAATAATAATAGGAAAAGGATAACTTGACACAAACTCTGCCAACCAACCCGTCTGGCCAGCGTGGAGAGCTACCCGATATGTACATAAAATTTCATAAAAATCGGTCCAGTCGTTTCGGAAGAGTTTGGTAACAACAACACACGAGATTTTTTATATCAGATTGTATATTTATAATACTAAGCTAATAGGCCTAATTTTCTATTTGACTAAAGGCATAATTGATTACAAGCTCTTACAGTGGAATTAGTCTCGAGCAATTTTTGCATATGTAGTGGTGTGTATATTACTCAGATCTTAGAGCGCGTTTCCACTATATCGTTCTGGCCTATACAAAAATGTTTCGATATCCTAACATTACTATTTAATTTTATACTTATCCCTAGCAACACTCTGATTTTTGTTTTCAATAAAAACAAGTTTTTATTTTAAAGAAAAAGGTTTTGACTTTATAAAAAAAAGGTGTGTGTGCGATTCACACACGATAGAAGTGAAACTTCAAAGAGGAGAGACCGATATTTTAAATTTTTTTTTTCCTTTCATCTAGGTTTTTAAAACTCCGGGGGGTCTACGGGGTGGTCAAATTTTTTGTTATTTTTGGCCTAGGACGCACCGTTTCCGAGATATTTCAATCTAAAGCAAAAAATCGTCACTTGATAGTGGAAAGTGGAAACACGCACAAAACCAGAATACCATACACTACTACAAACGCAAAAATTTATCCAAGCTAATTTACCTGTACTACTCGTGTCATCATCTTGACGACCGAATAGCGTAGTGGTTTGTGTAACGGACTGCTACTCCAAAGGTCGCGGGTTCGATTCCCGCTCAAGTCAAAAATTTGTGTGCATAATAAGTATGTTTTTACAAAAAAAAGTATATATGTATTTATATCAGTTATCTAGTAGCCATAGTACAAGCTTTGCTTAGTTTGGGACGAGATCGCGTTGTGTGAATGTGGTAGAATATTATTATTATTATCTTCAATCATCATCAACAGCCTTTAATAGTCCACTGCTGGACATGGGCCTCTCCTTAGAGAGTAGATTTTCTTACGACTCGTGTGGGTACCTGAAAACAATGATATATTCAGGAAATAACATTTTAATCTCAATTATTCTCTTTGTTAATTTCTTCATTATCTTTTGATTATAATAAAACAACTTTTTGTTATCAAGAAAAGTAAACCAGACGGATATAAAACTCTTGTGTTTTTACACAACGTAAATAAAACGTTGCTTAAATACATAAGACATTTTAACACGCTAATATTAGCTTTATCTGTATGTATGTATCAGAATCTTTGAACTCAATTTTACCTATTAAAAAAAGACTGATTAATAAGAAGTTATGTACACGTCAGCGACTGATGACAGTACAATAATCAATAATTAAAAGAAACAAATCTAAATATAGTTGACTATTCTAGATCGAACTAAAAAAGGTTGTATGGTTAATCAAACTAAAAAGTACAAAATAATTCGTAATATAAGAATACAATGATAAACGAGAAATGTTCGAAATCGATGGTTATAATTTCTTAGCAGTATTCTTCCGAAATTCAGAGTAGAAGCAAAAATGTAGCTGAAAGCACCCGACACTTTTACCACAATGTAATTCGTTCATAGGCGGCGATAGTCACTTTCCATCAGGTGACCCTTATGCTCATTTGCTTACTACTATACACACTCATCTGCCCAGCGTGGTATAGTAGGGCAAAATCTCCTTTCTAAGGAAAGGCCTGTTTCCAGCAGTGGAATTGCTGTTGATGATTATGAAGCTCTTCGTATAGGCATGGGCAACTAGATCTCCGACTGACAGTGACTGAGTGACTTTATTTTTTTTAAAGGATGACCTTTCTTTTAAAGACGACTCCCGCACTGGAATACGATCTGTGTCGTGGGGGACTTCACAAACATATTTGTAACGGACACAAAGAACACCCAGACTCAGAGCAACAATTTGTGACTCACACAAAGTGTTGTCCCATGTGGGGATCGAACCCACAACAGTCAGCGCAATAAAAAGCGCCGAGGTTACCGCTTAAACCAATCTATCCAAAAATATATTGTAATTATTTACATATTTGATTTGAATAATTTGAGTTCACTTATCACATGGAAGTATATTCAATACAATTACAAAACATAAATATTTAAATACAAGAATCATGCGCAAAGGAAACGGCTGAAGGACATAGTAATAAAACATTTTTTAGTAAATACATAAATAAACTTCAAACATCTTTAGCGGTTAATACCATAATAATAAATAGAGATATGAATTATTTAGTCGATTTCTCGTTGATATTAGCCCTGCTCAAGAAGAAAGACACTTGAAATCATTTGCACTTCTACGAAAGATTCTCAAACAAAACCTGAAAATGAAATCAATAAAATTAATCCACCAAGACAAATATTGTGTCGAGACAAATATGAGCACGGTCATTTGTTCTGTGTCTGGGTGTAATTTATCTATAATATGTATGTATTTAAAAATATATAAGTATGTTTATCAGCAGTCTGGTTACCAGGCTCTGCCTAGTATGGAATCAGACGGCCGTGTGTGAGATATGCGAGTTATATTATTATAAGAAAAAAAAGAAAAATATAGGCTATACCTTCAATGATATGGTCGCCTGATGGCAAATCACTAACGTCGCTCATGGACAACTCTAACTAAAGAATCACAAAGACGTTGTTATCCTTTGAGCCCCCTCCCGAGAATCAGATGGGGACGGGTTTAGGCTCCAGTAAGTTAATTCGCTCGGTAAAAAGCCACGAAAGAATTGTTCAACACCAGTTTTCTGTCAGGCCGGGGAATTACTCCGGTCAAGCCAGCCAACTTGTGCTAATAATTGGCTCTCCCTCGGTTTCTCATATCTATTAATTTTTCAGAACCTATCAGAAGAACTAAATAGTAATCAGCACAATGATGCGGATGCTCTGGAGTCTGTATTATCGCATGTGGGAAGTATGGGGCTTTACCAAAAGCTGCTTTTCGTAGCGATGATGCCGTTTGGTATATTCTATGCCTTCGTCTACTGCGTACAGATGTTCATAGTGGCCACACCGCAAAACCATTGGTGCAGGGTTCCGGCGCTGGCCAATTTAAGTATGGAGTGGAGGTAAGTAAGTGCTAGAGACGATGGCCTAAGATCATCTGCTATAGGTTACAATTTATCTCATTCGTACATTAAAAAATTAAAATACTTAAAGAAAGCATTCACGTAGTGTTTTGTCTTTTTAATGTACATCAATAAGTATTCTATGTAATACAACTAGAAATAAAAATCCATAAGACTACACATTGCTGAAGAGCTATGTTAAGATATGATATAGTAAATCAGTATCAAGAAACCACCTTTCGAGAGTATCGGGGAAATAAATACTCACGAGTAAAATACTCAAGAGTTTTTAAACCCAATTTTTTACTATTACGTTGAAACAAACTCAAGCCATTTATGTTTATTATTTCATATTTAACATAAGCGCGGACTTAATACCTTACGAATCCTCTACCAAGCAAGCTTTGAGTGATGCAGAAAAGAAAAGGATATGTAGAGAACCCTAAATTCGCTTTTAAGATCGGTGACTTTGTAATTTTCTTTTATTTTTTTTTATTTATTAGTGTCCAATCAAGTAATAATATTTCATTAGTCAATTATGATGCACTTAAAATTTCATGATAGATGATCTTAATGATCTAAAAAACTTTGAAGCCATAATCTTCATCATCAACAGCCTATAACAGTCCACTGCTGGACATAGGCCTCTCCTTACAAAGGAGGTATTGGCCTACTATATCACGCTGGCCAGACGGGTTGATATAGGGCTTGTTTCAAGTTTTCCAGTGCAGTTTTGCAGTGTCGTTGTCCTGCTTAGTTTTTTCCCTAAGTCGGCTCTTACGACACCCACGGGATGAATAGGGGTGGTGACAATTCGTATTCTTAATCAGTCAGCACACGGAACGGCTTCATATAAATATTCAACTCTCTGACTATAATTGTTACAGGAAAAACTTATCGGCACCAGTGACCTCAAGCGGCGAAATTGAACGCTGCATGACATTTGTCACGAACTGGACCTACGTTCTGGAGACGATGACACCGCCACCAGAAGAAACACCGATGATCCCGTGCCAGCATGGCTGGGAGTTTGATCGAGTTGATATCCCTTATGAGACCATAGTTTCTGAGGTAATTATTAAAACTGAAATATTTTATAAAGGAGCTACAGTTTACAAAGCAAATTTATAATTGTAATTGCACAGTTAAATTACTATTAAATCGATGTATTTATGCGTGAGAAAAAATCATGGTACCCTTTTATAAACAAATACGGAGCGTGAAAGCATGTTACATTTGAAATAAAAATCTCATTAATCTATCTAGTTAAATCTCATAAGGTGTTTTATTGCTAAGAAGTAGTAAGAAGTAAGTTTTAAATGTGAACGAGATCGAAATCACAATACATTTCCGATCTTAATCGTATAGTTATAAAGCTCACTGTACCGCGCCATTCTGCATTATGATTACAACTACTACGCGGTATTGCGCGGTTTAATGAAAACTCCTGTCTCTTTCTCGTAACGGTTGATGTTGAGCGGTTGTATATATGTCAATCGGCGAGAGAATTGATACCGCGATACAGGTTTAGCAATTACTCCGTAGTTCTCTGTCTTCATTACATGGCGTTGGAGTATGTTTCTTTGTTTCACCGTATGTGGAGTACGCCACAGACCATAAAGAACTGTAGTGGGTCAATATATATTTTGAGCTTTCGTGGTGCACTTTATCAGGATAGTTCAAGTTATACTGGTCTTTGAAATAAAACAAGACATTCAAAACGAAAATTATAATTAAAAACATTAATATCTCAAACAAAAAGTGTAAGATTACGGCTTATAAGGCTCTTTGTGTAAGGTATAGATAAAATTCTGAATGGAGCTTGAGCACATATTGAATTTGAGAACATATTGTACATATCTCTAAAGGAAGACTGAAGTCTAACCATTTTATTACCATCCTTATAATGACTTGTATATACCATAAACATGTGTTTTGTTCACGTTTACAGAGAGGTTGGGTATGCGGTTCTGCAAGCTATATACCGATTGCGCAGTCTTTTTTTTTCGCTGGATCTTTGTTTGGTGCTATGATTCTAGGATATATAGCTGATCAGTTTGGCAGAGTACCCGCTTTGATAGGTAACTTTAAAAATATCTTATTATCATCATACACTTGATGGAAAACTGATTCTGTGTTAACAACTTTTCTGTTTGTGATTTTTAGGAGCAAACCTGATTGGCGGTATTGGTGGTGTAGCAACCATTTTTACCAGTGGCGTGTGGGATTTCATTTTCTGTAGATTTCTCGCCGGTATAGCCTATGATAACTGCTTCATGATGGTGTACATTTTAGGTAAACGCTGTCCATTTTCAAAATTGACACCTCCCAATTTAAAAACAACATTTCACCCGCAAAATGGGCTGGTTTGTATTGCAATAGTTTAAGTAATCACCACGCCCCTGCGCCAAGTGTAGTACAATTGATTACTTTACGCGACAAAGTTTTGTGTGACTATCAAATAGTTGTGTCCTTGAGGATGAATAATAATTTGAAATGCGAGAAATTTCTTTGCAAAAATGAAGAAATTAATATAATTCCTTATTTCGAACATAATTTATTTTTTAGCTTAACTAATTGTATGTACGAAAAAGTGTACGCATAATAGAGCAGAAGACAATATAATCCGATTCAAAATAGAATTTTCATTAGATCAATTTATAGTCCGTCAAGACCTTTCTTTTTTAAATGTGTAAGGGGAACATTTTGATACTTAGGGCATACTGAAAGATTCTGGATTCTGATAAATAAGACTAGATATAAGACTTACGATACATTTATTATTTTTCAAAGTATATTCCCTCGCATTTAATGTATTTTTGCATAAACCAATGTACAAATCAGTTGGACCAGTCCTCCTTAGGGACTTCTTCAATGGCTTCATGGAACGCATTCACTGCCGATTCAAGGCTTGTAAAACGTGTGCCTCTAAGTTTGTCTTTAATTTTTGAAAACAAAAAGAAGGCGCAGGTCGGTCAGGTGTGAGGCCCGTGCTGTAGGGCGGTTGTGTCATCAGTTCCACATTAGAAGCTTTCAATTAGGCTCATGTTACCTTAGCGAAATGTGAGGATGCGTTATCGTGGTGAAGGAGGACATTGCTTCGAGGACGCTTTTCGCGAACTTTTTCTAAGACTCTGGGCGAGCAAGTATTGACATACCAATCTGCAGTCACTGTTCTTTGATTTTCAAGCGATACCATAGTGTAATGTCCTGATTTGCCGAATAAAGATGCAACCATTTCTTTACCAATGCTTTGACTTTCGTCCCACTGCTAACTGGCTTTTTCTTTCGGATTCAAAGCAGTACACCCAGGTTTCGTCACTTGTTACGATATTCTACACAGCCAAAAACTATCCGCCACGACTGGACACACAGTCGTTTCTAGTCCACTGTTAAGTTATGCGGTATCCCTCGAGTGCAAAGCTTCTAAATCTTCAGATGCACATGTAAAATATTTTGCACTTGGCTCATTCCAATGCCTAACAAAACACGAATTTGATGGCAAGTAATTTCTTTGTCAGTTTCAATAAGTTGTTATACGGTGTCAATATCAGAATCTGTCACCGCAGTCGCCGGCCCACCTTCACGTACTTCGTCATATAGATGATCACGTCCACGTCTAAATTCTCCAAACCACGAATACACAGAGCTGCGACATGTCACTTCATCACCAAATGCCAATTGAAGTCTCTGGCAACTCTATTGTTGACTTATGCATCAACGAAAATCATTGAAAGGAAATGTTCACGAGTTAAATTTATTTTGATAGCGACACACAATTTTTGAAAGGACGTCACAATGAAAAAAGAAGTGACAGTCTCTCAAATTAAAAAGTAACATGTTCCCAAAGAGTTCCATTTTCGAATTCCATAATTGTTTTTGTGGCAAGTGGCCAGATCAAGAAACTTTCAGTATGCCCCACGTAATATATTTAATATTAACGCCTAACATCAGTCTATCTGAGGTGAAAACATAAAGAATATTTTATTTATAAAAAAGGAGCTAAGTAGCCTTGTTACACATTTTAATCTCTGTTGTTTTACAACGGTGGAAAATTTTAATCACGTTTGTGTACGAAACCCACGGAACAAAGAATAAAGAACAAAAAAATAATTTATTCAAAATTAGCGATTTATGGCAAAAGTACTACATCATTATACGGTCTCTTGCAGTACCGCTTTTAGAACTATATGGATCTCAAATATGCAACTGAAACGCTACCTTATTTTGAAAGCTATAAGGTTATGTTTAGTAACATTATAAGTGGCGTTTGGGATTTTTATTCAATAAATCCTGTGGAACGAATTAGCGTAGACTTCGTTATGTATGTAAAATGTTGTTTACCGTTTATGTATATATACGTGCGTGTAGGCGACAAATCTGGAATGAAAATTCAGAAATGTTTACTTTTTATTTTTGGATAGCTTTCATAAATTTTAATAATTTATTACTTATAATACACTAGAAATTCAAGCCTAAGTATACAAATATACGTAAATGCATCGGTATCTATTAAATAAAAATATGTATATAAATCTAAATTAGTTAGGTACTTAGGTCTAAATTAGGTCTAAATAGGTTTTAGATCTAAATTAGTTTTTATTAGGAGGAATTTAAATTATGGAGTAGGAGCGTCAAGTATTAAAACTCACCAACTCTTCGCTTTTTGCAGCTGTGTATTATTCTAAATTATCCCGTATAAAAATGCAAGTTAATATTCTCGTCCTCAGTTCTCGAATATGTAGGTACACAATACCGCACTTTGGTAGGAGCAACGTCGATCGCTTTGTATTTTGGTGCTGGCTCTATGGCGCTCCCGTGGATAGCGCTTTGGGCGAACGATTGGCGCTTGTTAATGTGGATTACTTCTCTACCCATGTTTATAGTAATACTAGCGCCATGGCTTCTACCTGAGAGTGCCCGGTAAGTTAAAACGTTTTATTTAAGATTACATAGCTAGTTCCTACATTATAATGTTTTATCTAATCTGTCTACTCCCACAAACATTAAAGAACATGTCCTCGAGGTTATCAGACACGTGCGTTTTAAAATACATATATTCTACAAATTTTAAGGTCACCTATGCAATACATTTCACAAAATTGTAAAAAGTTATTTTTACGTTATTTTTTATGCAGATGGTTAGCAAGTACCGGCCGCATCAATCAAGCTGTAAAGGTCCTAAAGAGATTTGAGACTATCAATGGAACAAAAATTCCAGATAATATAATGGGTGAATTTATAGTAAGTTTAAAGATTTTTAATTATATATATCAAGACACGTTACCTGATACAATTCTATATTTTGCTGCGATGGAAAAAATATTTTAGTTAAATTGAAACAATGTACAGAAAGTCTAGGCAAAAATTCAAATCAATTATTTTATTTCATATTAATTCACCACATTCTCATAGTTTTCACAATATGTCAATCAGCAAATGGAATAACAAAACAGCATCTCATTCAACAGAGTTTATCAAAAACAGTATCCAATTCAACACCATTTTCTGTCAATCAAAATTCCTAACCTTCAAATTAACAGGTATCATCAAACACAGGAAATAAAAAGGAGTCATATATGGCCCTGTTCAAGAGTGCACCTCTTCGCAAGTCAATGGTCTTGATGGTGTTATATTACATGGGAGGTACAGCTATCTTTGACGGTTTGGTGCGACTTTCGGATTCTTTTGGATTAGACTTCTTCGTCACGTTTACGTTGACATCAGCTACTGAAATTCCATCTATTGCCTTTCTCGTCGTTGTTCTTGACAGGTACAGTCAATGATAAAATAAACCATAACCATAGCACATCGCTTTAAGCTATTGCCTTGTCTTTGCAAACTAGCTATGGCCTTTAACCAGGTCTTATTGGTTTGGCTACTATTACGAGAATCTAGCAAATTCTAGCTGATAAAATAAATGTAAGTGTTTCACATGCCTCTGCCTATACCCTCATACGAGAATGAGAGTGTGTATTTATGCTGCTACGACTTCACCAATGCTCTGACGTAATTTCAGCTTTTTAGTTTTAGTAACACATTAGTGTAACACATTATTTTAGAATATTCTATCTGACAAATGTACGAGTATAGCAACAATTTAACTTAAGTTATTTTTCCACAGATGGGGCAGACGAAATCTTGGTTTCGGTCCAATGACATTAACTGGCGTCTTAATACTTATTGCGCTCTTTGTACCTAAAGGTATGATATTAATCTCCTTTTTCTATTTCGCTCTTTTTTCTATTAAGACTTCTAAAACCAACTTGGGTAAGAACGCTACTATGAATAGACTACAAAGCCAATATAACAAGCTGACGAAAAATCGTGAAATTGATGTAGACATCTTCTCAAACAGTCTTTTAAAATTTAAAAGTAAAGTTATTGCGTCATTTGGACCTTCTTAGATCATCACTGTCTTTAATTAATTTCGATGATGTTCTGTATGTTTTGTATATTATTATAGATATTGCATTGTAATCTTAGATGCAACTGTCCCTTACCATGCCATGGCAACTTGTAAGTAAGACAACACTCAGAAAATATTTGTAAAACATGTTTGTAAATTATATATTAGTGTATGTTTTATAAGTTGTCCTATTTAAATAAATAAATAAATAAATGTTAATGGTAGGTAGTTATTATTTTTGTACATTAAAAACAGATAATTGCAATGGTCTATAAAATAACTTATAATATTTTAATGATTTGCTTTTGCTCATAGAATGGTGGGAACATTATAGTGCTTAAAGAAAAATTTAATGACATCATTATCAATTACATAGATGATCGTACAAGTACTTTTCGCCGACTGACAATACATTGTTTCGAGCGCTACTTGGGACGATTTTTTGTGATTAACTGATATCGAGGTAGGGTGCTATGTGTATACGTTGTATATATACATATATGTATGTATACATATGCTTGCAAAACCCCTGCAATACCAGGATTACAATAGGTCAAAGCAGTATAGTCAAAAATATTTAGTTATACTTCTGACTCTTGAGTTGTAGGCGTCCATGGGTGGAGGTTTTGATTTGCTGATGTTTCGACCAGTATAACACTAGCCGTGGATTATAAGCTAACTCACTCAGCGATGGCTCAATCTCAATCTTACTAGCAAAGCGTAAATGGTTATTATCTTTGCACGTGTGTTCGCCACTAATATCCACATATCGTACGATACTACGACGATTTGTATTGGTAGTTTACGTTACGTAGAGCGAAAATAATCATTATAAATGCCTAATCTTGCATTTGTATGATAATCTGACGTTTGTATTGTCATCGAAGACACTGTGTAATGTATGTTATTTCCTACTATTTTTAGGTATCACTCAAGCAGCTTTAGCGATAACGGCACGATTTTTTCTAAACATGTCATATTGTGCATCGATCCAATGGGCGACAGAGATCTTGCCAACTCCTTTCAGAGCTTCAGGGTCCTCTATTCTGCACATGACTGGATATGTAGCTACTGCGATGTCTCCTTTTATAATCTATTCGGTAAGATCAAATAAACTATTTGTGTTATCATTGATATGCTAACACATAGCCATTCATGCTTAAATATCAATACGATGAATAAACTCTAATACAAATTCGACTAATCGTTGTTATAAACAGTGATGCTTACAAATTACGAATTCCAGGAGCACATTTGGTCGAAGCTGCCTTTACTTTTTATGGGTATTATATCGCTGATTTCGGCTGGAATCAGTCTATTATTACCTGAGACTCAGGGAAAGCAGATGCCTCAAACTGTGACTGATAGCGAAAATATTATAAGACAACAAAGACTGTGCGGGTAAGAATACAACTGAAATGTAAAAGGTTTGATTTATGATAGACAAAGATATTTTAATTACTTCAGTTAGTTCTTTATTTTTTCTTCCATTACCATTTGGCAATTGATTCTGTGTTTGTTCTTTGATTTATGATGTAGTTTAGCTTAACTAAATAATTTATCGATGTAATCATATTAGTGTTCCACATTCAAGTCTGTCCTTTTCTCGATAAAAATATATATTTGCAAACAACGTCATAGTTTGATGTATTAATGAAATCAGTTTATTGAACTGATTTTTCGTTTGTTTTAAGCGTATATTATTTTATTTTCAGTAAACCAGAGAATGATTAAAACTGGCTCACTACAAACAGTTTATTAGCAAAATATAAAGGTCAGTTTTATGGGACTGCTTAACTTCATTGGCGCTTAATCTGGCGATGATATAATTTGAGTGAAACCAAATGGTCGTGTTTTACATCTGAAGAATTCATCATCATTATCATTAACAGCCTTTAATAGTCCACTGCTGCATAAAAGCCTTTCTTTAAATATAAGGTTTTGGTTTCTTAATCTGAAGATTTACCTTTAGTTAAAGGCTTTGCAGCTTGACAGTGTCGTTCATTAACTGGGACTTTAGCTTGATGTGGTTAAGATAAAGCATACGAATAACACACGTATATTTCATTATGTGTTTTTTTAGTAAAGTTTAAAATCGCTCGTGAATAATAAATTATAAATAAATAAATAAATATAATACTTCCACATCGGAACAAAAACAAATAATAATGTTGCAGTTAAAAAGCAAACAAAAATACCAATACAGTGATAAACAGACACCTTAAGAAATCACATTATTATCGTAAATGAGCCTAAAGCAAATACTGTGTATTGCATAAGCATGAACACACACACTCACACAAAATGGTAGTCACAATAGTATAAATCCACATATTGTAAATTAGAACTTGGGCTCACTAATTAAACAGTGGCAAGCTTTTTTATCTTACATGTCGGAGCAGACGGTTGACCCGATGGAAAGTGAACACCATTATTCATTGACACCTGCCTCTTAAGATCCACAGATACGTCGATGGTCTTAGGAGGGATGGGTCTTTGGCAACTTCACTCGCTTGGTGAAAACCGATGAAAGAATTGTTTAATTTTGTTTGTGTTAAATGTTTGTTTGTGTATGGATATGGACCCATGTGTGATATAAATATCCTAAAACATTGTTATATAATATTATGATTAAATACTGACTGTGTCGTCAGACATTGTTCTGGATCTTTTTTTTGTTTTGTTTTTACTGAATTCCCCAATTTTCCAGTCAGCTTTTATAATTTTTCGTCACCTAAATATGGACTATAATTAACTTTTAAAACAAGAAATTAGTCAAATTGGTCCAGACGTTCTCTGGTTGCGCTCTTAAAAACGTATACTATTTAACCATTCATTTTTATATTCAGGATAACTTGAATCTATTTTACTCCTAGTCAAGACCAGTTTCAATGCCCTGTTCAGTTGTAAACTAGACGAAAATACCTACGTGTACCTCTCAATTCATATACACTAGACACAAAAAATTGAGTATCCAAATTTCTCTACAATTTTTGTAGAGTTTTTATTGCGTGAAAAATGTTCGTATCGAAAATCTAAAATTAGAACTTCAACATTTTAGTTCTTGACTCTTGGTACCAAAAATATTTAAATGCCAAGGTTTTAAGCACCATGTCGCAGCTCAGTGTATTCGTGGTTTGTAGAATTTAGACATACATGATTATCTCTATGACGAAGTACGTGAAGGTCGGCCGGCGAGTACGGTTACAGACTCCAATAGTAACGCTGTACGATAACTTATTGAAACTGTAAAAAAAAAGTACTTGTTAGCAAGTTCGAGCTTTGTTAGGCATTGGAATGAGCCAAATGCTTAACATTTTACATGTGCATCTGAAGGTTCGGAAGCTTGGCACTCGATGGATACCGCATGCCTTAACTTTTACGGTCATCACTTTTACATCAATCAGAATTCGTATATTTATACTACACTTAATTACTATCTTGTAATTCACTTTGCACCCGCTAGTCTGCACGTACCAAAATTTCCATATGGTTCATATGCTTCTAAGTCATATGCATATGCTGTCAGGTCACGAATACATTAAAATAAATAAGCACAAGTACACACATTCACAATAAAATATACAGACACCTAAAACACAACAGTCTAACACGCACTCTACTACACGTCATAATGTGGTTGCTTTATTTTTATTTTCCATTTATTGAAAACTGGTTCTCATTGAAATAGGAATACCTAGTTTGAGGACTCGGCAAAATAAAATCCACTACAAATTGGCATTAATAGCTATTGCTGCAACGGAGCTGTTAGGGATTATCCTTAACCTGACTGTAACACAGTTTCTACTAGCATGATAACGGGAGGGGTTAATCTTTACGGCTATGCGGCTAAATTTAGATTATGTCATGTTGGATATATGTATATACGTATAACTGTGTAACTATTTGAGACAATAAAAATTACTTTACAGTAATTTAAGACTGGTCCAACTTCTTTTGTACAATGGTTTCAGCGAAAGTGAAAATGCATTAATTGCGAGGGAATATACTTTGAAAAATATTGTGTGTATCGTAAATCTTATATCTAGTCTTATTTATCAGAATGCAGAAACTTTCAGTATGTCCTAAGTACTAAAAAGACGTATGAGAGCCATCCCTCGGCACTTATGGGCCAGGCTCCACCGGAGTGATACCACGGCCGCACAGAAAACCGGAGTTAAGGACGTCTTTCGTTGCTTTTAACCACTCGGTGTGGTTCACATCGACAGCCTTTAACAGTCCACTGCTGGACATAAGCCTCTCTTTAAAAAGGAGGTTTTGGCCTACTATACCACGCTGGCTAGACGGGTTGGTATAGGGTTTATGTCAAGTTTTAGGGTTTGGTGTGGTTACCAGAGTCCAAACCCACCCGCCCCGTGATTCTAGGGGAAGGTACTTAATAGGTGGCAACGCACTCGTTGCTCTTGAGTTACACGTGTTCATGGGTGGCGGACGTGGCGGTAATCACCAACAGGTAACCCGTCTTCTTTTTTGATACCTTATACCATAAAAAAAAGAAAAATCTGTAATAGATATTTTAAACACGACTTTTTAATTATTTATTATTATTAATAAGAAAAGTAAATAAACGCATTATGCATGAAAAAGGAATATATCCCAAAACAAGGTGTGTAGGCAAGATTTTCCGGTCCACAATAACGTTGTTTTAAACCGATTAATATTTTTATTTTATAATTTCAGATAAGGTCTTGAATGATTTATTTTGGCGTATGACATCACTATCGCATTTCACACCAAGTCTCACAAATTTGATAAATAATACATTGCCCGACATTATCAGGTCATTAAAGACAAATTTTGTAATCACCATAAACATTTACCACAGACAGGCGCTATGCTCCTGATGAGATGGCATGCTGTTTTTAGTCGGTTTGAGTCCGACATAACCACCCTATCGGTCGTCCGTTAGAGGGTAACCGAGTGGATTGGCACACGAAAAAAAGGCAGGCGCTTGGCGGGATCCGGATATCCCAATAAATTCTCTTCCCGGATCTCTCCTATTTAAGGCGCGCTATGGTACACCGTGTGATTTCAGTCAGTCTGATTTCGATACACCGCTCCACCATGAGAAGTCTAAAAATATATTCAAAAATATATGTGACGGGCCTTTTGGTCAAGTGGTTAGTGATCCTAACTGCTAAACCGGAGGTCGTGGGTTCGAATCCCACCCTGGACATATATTGTGTGATGAGCACGGTCATTTGTTCTGTGTCTGGGTGTAATTTATCTAAAACATGTATCTATTTAAAAATGTATAAGTATGTTTATCAGCAGTCTAGTTAGCATAGTAACATGCTCTGCCTAGTTTGGAATCAGACGGCCGTGCGTGAAATGTGTGAGATATATTATTTTGTTATTATTATATTATATCAACTGCGAAATGGTTTCTATTATTTAATACACTGAAGATCATATACGAAGATACTTATTTAGATTATATGTGCTATGTATGCTGTAACTATAGGCACTGTCCGTCAAAAACTGTTTCAAAAAATTTCGTTACAAAAACATGCCGTAATCTAATTAAGAATAAGTGTGTGATGACTAATTTGTCATAGATATCACATGAACCTTCCTATATTATTAAATAATCTTATCATTTAATGATACATTCATCCCAAAACATACTACTCTGTAAAAGTAAGATAAACGGTTAGAGTTTTTGCATCACTTAAATAATCTAAAACGAATAAATATCCGCGGTTAATGGAGGATTATGGTAGGGATTACCGGAATTGATTGTCTTTTAATAACTCTGACTCCAATGCACCTACATCATGAAATAAAAATCGGTTGTCTGTAAAGTTAGTTTACTGACGATAGTTGAACGTGACAACGTCATAAGAAAATACTGATGAAATGGTAGCATTTTTCAAAAATGTATTATTGTATACGAGTAGCAGCTGTCCGTCCACGCGGACGCATCGCTCAATCAAGTAGGAGAGAGACAGATGTCGAACCGATTGTGCCTCTTTGTCACTCGTTCCGCGATCTCGCTTGCACTTCACGCCTTAAATGGAACGCCTCAGAGCGAGGTAACGCCGCATGAGTCATGTTTTTTCGTGCGTGCAGCCGGCTCCATCGAATTATAAGACGTTGTCACGTCAAAAACTATAAACTATAATAAACTGTAATTTATAGTTTACTGAGTTTAGTGACGCAGTACGGACGGATTAAGAATACGGAATGTCATTACCCCTATTCATCCCGTGGGTGTCGTAAAAGCCGACTAAGGGCGCAAAACAACACAGGACACCAGCACTGCAAAAAGAAGGAAAACTTGACACAAACCCTATACCAACCCGTCTGGCCAGCGTGGTATAGTAGGCCAAAACCTCCTTTCTAAGGAGAGGCCTGTATTCCGCAGTGGACTATTACAGGCTGTTGATTATAATAAACTGTACTTTTCGCTCGTTAACTTTCCACCCTTCTCATTTCTTGGTGTATGATATTGGTAATTTACCATACTTGTGTGTTTAGTGTTGCCAACAAAATTTTCATTGAACTTTATTTTTCAACTGATAGCAAGCGGGTTTTTCTAAGCTATTTAGCTCTGACGTACTGAAGTCATTTCTTGGAATTATGTGATCGTCTGTTTGCCCATTTGTTGTTTAGACTTTTGTATCAAGACAGGACAAAATATGCACTGGTTTTCAAAATTTTCTAACTTCATGCCATATATTGCTTAAAAATTATAGATTTGTGTACTTGAATTTTTGAATTTTGGCCGGTCACCTTGAGTGATACAACCGTCTCATAAGAAACCACACAAATATGCGATTACACATTAAAATGTGATCATAATTAAATGCGATATTGCTAACTAACCCGCTTTCATTATCGTGATTTTGACCCACTTCAAAACGACGAATAAACTTGAAAATTTGCACACCTATTAAAGACCGATGACAATGTAATAATTTACATAGTTTGTCCCATTAACTTGATCAGGACCTTCAGGATTAACTGCTTTTGCCACGTACTAAGGCATATGCTGAAGCATATGTAATCAACTTACTTGTTACTTTTTAGTATTAATAAGATTACTAATCATCAGTAATGACTAAATAAGGAAAACTATTTTATAGTAATAAAAACACAAACAAAACAACACAAGCTTTTGTAGCTATCCGAATTATGTATAAGTTCAAAAAGAAAAATCATTTCAGGAGTTAAACCGACGTATGCCGTAACTCTCTTGAACTAGTTTCGTTAAAAACAGTCAAATTATGTAATTAAGATAATTATGCTAATAACGTTCATTTAATTGAGCATTGGGGATATTGTAATGTTACAAGCCATTTCATTGTTTGCTATTTACCTGAAAACTGTCGCTTTGCTTTTATTACCCATTATTAAAAAAATACATGTAGTCATACCAAATTATCTATGGGGCAAAATTCTGTGGAACGTTTACGAAGATGTTTTTCAGTAAGTACTTTTATTTCATTATTACAATACGTTTTCAAATAATCTTTAAACTGATGAAATGTCGCTACTTATACCTACTAAGTACATTCCTTTATATTCTTTTGACGCTTTTTTGGGTTACTAACCATTAACAGTTAAATATTGATTTAGTTTGTATAATTGAACTAAAAATAAACGAAACTAGATGTTCTTTGAGAATAGTTTGTATTAGTTACGTTATCTATTTTAATTCAATTTTTGCTGCATATTCAAAGAACGATATTAACTATTTTAAAATTGCTACAAAAAATATTTCCTCTGTAGTAATGAATGCTTATAGAGTATAATATAGAGGTTTAATATAACTATAACATATAAAATAGTATACAGATAATATAACTATATAAAATATAAATGTGTATATATGTACAACATAGATATATATTCATGTCGGGACCTTAAGAATCGAAGAAAACAATTTTTTTCCTGTTATAATAAAAAAAAATGCATTTTCAAATTTTTACTTCAGTCGGCACTCCCGGAGTACCACTGTTTTTATTTTGTAGTGAAACTTCTTTAACAACGTTGTGATTTTTAAATATGATGAAACGAAAAAGCGACTGTAAAAAGAGACAAACATATTCTTTTAATTATCCTAACTCCTGATACTCTTATTCTCTTGTAGGCTACTTTCGTACTTCTCGCATTAGGAATATATCGTATGTCGTGGCGGACTTTACAAACATACATGAAACGGATACAAAGAACACCCAAACTCAGAACAATAATTTGTGCATCACACAAAGTGTCGTCCCATGTTGGGATCGAACCCACAACACTCAGCGTAGTAGGAAACCAACTTCAAAAAGAACTCATTTATTTTCTAACATTATGTTGATGAAATACTGGGCTACTTTATGGACTCTCTGTCTTATCATTTAATTTAAATTATCAGAAACTATTGACCTGTCCCGACTCTGCACGGGTGTAAGTAGATTAAATTTAGTAAATTCAAAAATGTAGTGAAATAAATATGAGTAGAGAGAGAGGCAGGCACGTAGTTTGTTATCGTCTGCTCGTCTGTCCCCTCTAACATAAAAAAACGTTTCTTATATTTATTTTTAGCGACTTTGCAAGTGTTGTTTTTCTTATTTTATAATTACGATTCCAATCGTCCATCCATCGTTCCATCCTGTCCGTTACGCGGTTTTGTGACTCCTTTTTGAAATATAAGAAAAGAAAATCGATATCTTCTTGGTCTACAATTATATCATTGTTAATTTGCTCAAAAAAAGCAATAATTAGAGACAAGTTCTTGGCTGTTATTGTAAAATAATATGATAACGATAAAGCTATCTGCCTTTTATAACAAATTAAAAGATAACATTTACTTTTCGTCAAAACATTATTCTTAACTAGCTGTGCCCTACCACGCTTCGCTGTAGCACATTAAATTTGAATTGATGTGAAATTAGAAACAATAGAGGAAATAGATAAAAACAATCTTTGAAAGGGATTGTATATTATGTCTTAATTTGATCTTAATCGGTGCAGAGCTTTTTAAGTTCTTGAAGCGTACACAAACCAACTAAACAATATATTAAATAAGAATATAAGAAACTTGTCCGTTTAAGTAAGGTAAAAATCGTTATAATACGGAGTAAAGATTGGAAGCTATCTGGCCAAATATGACATGCAGAATATTCGGCCAACCTTGAACCCGGAGTTCGAGTTGCCGGATATGTAGTCGAACATTGGGAATTGTCTTTTGTCTTAAAAATATATGTAGATCATCGATTTTGTTATCCTATAAGGTTTATGAGTTCATGTTTGTTGTCTATTCGGTTTCCCCCTAACACAAAAAATCAACAAGTATAGTGTAAATTAAAAAAGTTAATTCATATGATATCTATATATCTTATATTTTGTTTCTGTATACCAACACAAATATGTTCGGGCATTTCATGTAATATTTAAAAAGATTGAATTTATATATGCTTTTTACATCCAAATTATTCTGTAACAGTAGAACAACAAAGTATAGAAAATAATCGATACATCGATAATGGTTAGAACACTAGTGCCAACTCAAGACTTCCAAACGATGCATGATATGTATTTTAAACTTGTCGAATTTTTGCTCTTTCCTCTTTCTTACTACCGACTGACTATCAGGCAATTTGCGGGCTTTGTTTGGTGGTACAATCTTAACGGAATTTATCCATTGGAACTCGCTAGTTATTAAAAATAAGCAAGTTCAATTACGCAAGCAATTAATTGAAAAAAAAAATCTCTCATCCATCTGATTTTGATAAAATAGTTTGACTTTAAAGGTTTTTCTCAAAAACCTTGCAGCTTTATACACAACTGAGGGAATTGTTTCAAAGCTTGTTTTTTACTCTTTCTTTTGATATCAAAATCTTGAAAAATCTCAGAAGTTAAGGGACTCAAATACCATTTTGAACAAAATAAAAACTAGGAACGACTTGAGTTCACACCACAGTATAAAGCTACGTTACTTTTTACCAGGAAAATAAACCTGTAAGGTAATAAAATAGTATCAGTTTTTGTGGGAAACCAATAAATTGTTAAGTATATCTGAATGAATTTTTAAATAGTTGAACAAGCCATTGAACAAGGATACAGGCTTGTTCCAAAATAAACTGAAATAAAAGAGTACGACGCCACGAGCACTCCATACTAAAATCGCCTATTGTTATCTGGTAGGGTTTACGGGGAATTTCTCTGTACCCATGTCTGTTGGAGAGACATGCAGTAGCACCACGGCCTCAGAATGAAATTTCCGAAAGCTGAACAACTCTCAATACCTTCATTTAAAAGGCGGCAACGCACATCTGTCTCTTGAGTTGATACCTATAGACCTGAGACCTCAACAGGTAGGACTCCGCGATGGAAATAATACCACCATGTGTTTGTCACCATTACCAACATTAGCATGTCATGCGCTGAAGAACGTAGAACCCTCTAAAGATTGAAAATATAAATTAAAATTTGGAAAATACAAATGTATACGTAGATACTACCAATATTTGATTATTTAATAGTTACGGTCTACTTAATTAATAACAAAAAAAATGCCAAAACTATTTATTCTACACATATATCGTCGTCGCGGACACCACCTAGTCTTGAATAAAGTTATAAATAATTTTATAGTAATTGGTTTTCAGGTACCATTATTTACTTATAGCCCGAAAATATCCGGTAATCGGGTGGATAGTAAATTCCAAGTAAGACGGATGCCGGATATTTGTCGGATATCAATTTCATCTCTAATGTGGATCATTTTTAAAAATATCCAATAGTTTTCTTTTTCCATATCAACCCTCTACTAAGAGAAAGAAACGTTACTAGGGAATAGCCAGACAGAGAGCTGATAACATTATATGTTGCGTTTTATCAGTTTCCATCTTACTGTGTAACTCTTATCATGTATTGGTCAGAGAATTGTATAAAAATTCACGCAAACAAATTTATCACTTAATTACGAATCAGCAGTAGTTACGAGCAGTCACGTGGAGTTTAATAGTGTTTATTGTGCAGTGATTGTGAATCCAAAATGGGGGGTGAAAAAATAAATTTAGACAATGGCAATGTTAGTATTCATTTATGTTTTTTTTTATTTTTATTTATAAGTGCTTTGAAGCCATATAATAGAGCTCCTAAATATTGGCCCTCAATACAAGAAAAATGTATTTAAATATATCAAGTTTTGTTAAACGGACAGATATTTTTTTTATTGTAAACGACAGCACTGAACCACACCACCAGGGTGTAAGTTTGCATTTTTTTGTAAACGACACCACGACTGACTAGTGATGTATAACATGAAATGAAACAATTCTTTAGTGTTTATTTTTAATGAAAATGTTGAAAATAATCGAGTCCACAAGGGATTCGTAACTCATAATAATTGTATCCATTACAAGAAAAAGCCAACCCAACTTGATCCCATATTATACTACTAGCTGACCCGCGCAACTTCGTCTGCGTCTCTCAATAGTAATAAATTTTCTCCGTTTTTGAAACATTCTTCATTGGTGCTCCGCTCCTATTGGTCTTAGCGTGATGATATATAGCCTATAGCCTTCCTCGATAAATGGCCTATCTAACACTGAAAGAATTTTTCAAATCGAACCAGTAGTTCCTGAGATTAGCGCGTTCAAACAAACAAACAAACAAACAAACTCTTCAGCTTTATAATATTAGTATAGATAACATCTGTTGTCTTTAAAGTAACTTCTGAAAAAGCCTATTTAAAATGGTCATAGTCGTGATCTTACGAATAAAAAATAATTGAGATGAATAAGCATGATTAATGCATAAGTTTTGTGTTAGAGCTGCATTACGGTGGTGTTGTTACAAAAAAATGTAAACGACTCCCCAGTGGTGTGGTTCGGTGGTGTCGTTTACAATACTTGATTTTTTTTTATTGAGTTGGAGACACTGAATCTCAGTCCTGTTTTATTTTAAAAAAAATATATTACACTTCTAAGAAAGGAAACTTTAAGAATAAATAATAAAGCATAACACAAAAAATATATATGGTTAACAATATTTCAATGTTACCTAATTCATGGTGGTGACATTAAACTTTTTTCAAAGTTTTCAAATTGGCAATGTTCTCCTTTAAACCACTCACGGTGGATATTTTTTTAAATATTATAAAATTATTCTTTCACTTGTCCGTGTGGTGACGGATTAATAATACAGAGTGTCACCACCCTATTCCTAAGGATGTCGTAAGAGCCGACTAAGGGAGCTAACTTTGCAGGAGAACAGCACTGCTAAGAGACGGAAAACTTGAAACAACCCTACATTTTCAGTTTCAATATCGTAGTCCAGCAATTTTTTCCACTTAAAAAAAATCTTTCCTATATTAGCGGTGGGAACTAAGTTATTTTTTTGCTTAAATCATAAGGAGGAATAGACCTGAAGTTGGACATGAAAGTAGAAATGACTATATACTACAAAAGATACCCAGCAACTGCTAATATCAGTCACTGTCCCAGTAATGAAATAAAATATTAATCAGTAAATAATTAGATACAATTTTAGAAGAATTTCTGAAATCATCGTCTCCTAGAACACTTAATGGGCTTGCATTCCCAAGAAACAGAATATAAGTTGTCTGTTATAATTTCAGTATTGCCATGCCAGACAAAAATTTTAGTATTTTGGAGATTGAATTATATTGAAGAACTTTAAATCATTGGATAAATAGAACCGATTGCAATAAAAAAAAAATAACTTGGGGTTGGACAGACAATTTGTGCGCTAAAATTTCCTCCTTTTCTACCACACAAAGACACCAAAGTACATGAATAAATAATAGAAATGTAACCTATTTCTATGTAGCTATTAATTAACACATCGTCTATGTTTTTTTAAACAATTTTAATTAAAAAAAAGCTACGACAATAGTCATTATAAGACTTAGCTAAGTTAAACTTGATGATAAGATTTGCCTTGGTTTGATAACACTTGATTGATGACTTGATAGTGATAATTATTGATTCTGATTCGAATAATGAAATTTGTAAAAAAAAAAAATTACATCTTCATGCACTTATGTACATCGACGGAGTTAATGCCCTGGGCATTCTCTACCAGCCAACCTTTAGGTGGTGTAATCTTGTAGGGTAGGTGCATCGAGGTTACAATTGTAATCACACAATCACAAAATTTAAAACACACATAAAATTAAACATAAAATAACTCACGATCTGTCGTGATATGAAATTCGTACGCTCAATATGGTTCCTAGAACTGTTTTCAATTAAGAATACGGAGTCGACTTAGGGAGCAAACTACACATGACAACAGCACTGCAAAGAGAAGGGAAACTTGAAACAAACCCTATATCAAACTGTCTGACCAGCGTAGTATACTCGTAGTAGGCCAAAACTTATTTCTAAGGAGAGGCCTATGACCAGCAGTGGACTACTAAAGGCTGTTGATGTTATGATGTGATATGTTTTATACTAATGAGCATTATTTATATTTCCTATTCCTTTATTAACCATTAAAGGTGTCTGTTTGTAGGATACGACAGAAAAATTAAACCAGGCACCCGAAGAAGATCACATAATAATAGACAAAGTATTATTCCATTTGGGTCACATGGGTCTTTACCAGAAGCTGCTGTTTATTGGAATGTTCCCTTTTGGTTGTTACATGACGTTCGTTTACCTCGTGCAAATATTTATAACTGTCACACCCAACAACCATTGGTGTAGAATACCTGAATTGGCTAATTTAAGTATGGAGTTGAGGTGAGTTTGAATTAGTTTTACCATTACTCTATGATTATCAGGTGACAAAAAATTAATAATATTATCCTATTACATTATACTTATATAGATTCATTTACATATAAATACACTCACAGAGACTTTAGAACCCTGATCGAATCCATACATGGATAATATCAACCACAGTTCAATTTTCTTCACTCTGTCATATACTTTCTTCAGATTTGGTTTTTCACACCTATTCAAGAGAACCTAAATAGCTCAGATATCTTAAGAGAAAGAATTGATCCACAAAGCCTATCTCACCTCTAAATTTTGCTCGCATATCTCAAATCTTAGTTAATGTAATTTGCCCTTTATCTATACACATTTCACCAACCTCACTTAAGACATAAGCATAGAGAGAACACGGGGTGCAGCTGCCTGTAAGTAGAAGCCATACAGGCAACGAGAGAGATGGATGCCCGACATTTTCATCTATCCCTGTTTAACTCTCTTTTTAGCTAAACTGCGATTGGTTACTTATTTCCCTCATATTCTCCAGCCATCCACAGAGCTCGACCGAGAAGAGATAGAGAGGACCATTTCTCTCGTTGCCTATATTGCAAGATTGGGGCTCTTGTTCTCTCGAGGTTATATCTCTATGCTTATGCAATGTTTTTGCATTCCTGCATATCCCTTTCTCTTCTTTATATTGCTACAACATTACTGTATTTGTCATTCGTGTCATGTGATTTGTAAAACTATTCATATTTCACAAATATCAGTGATTTATATGTTAAAGGCCCTTACGAAACCTTACTAGCAACATTACTAAATGACTTAGTCGAAATCCAGTCGTAGAGAGCACAGTTTCTGTTGTCACCGTAAATTAAAGCACTTCAGCAATGCTGTATGCTCTAAAAATAGTAGAACAATAATAATAATAATCTTCTAATTCAATTCCGATCATTTTCGGCATCTTTTTCTGACCCTCTGCATTAAACTCTTAATGCACTATTCGAAAACGATTCTTTTAGAAGGTAATTGAGAGCCTCAGTTCTTAGATCATAAACTGAAACGATCTGTACAAGAAATGCTGATTCTGTTTACATGACGATTATCTTGGATAATTAAATACAGAGTGTTGTTACAGATAAATATTACTACGCCGTGCTTTTACTAGTAATCTTATTTGTGATAATTGTATAAAAAATTAGAAACATGTTTGTGGCACGGTACCTTAAAATCTGCATACTTCTGATGTATCTATTTAAGCAAATTATTTTTTGTGACCTAAAAGGTTTTATGGTAGTAAACAAAACCGAAGGAAAAAACTTAGTTTCTGGCATTTCCCTTCTAAATTAATTTTTTGCAATGTGACATTTCCAGTAACTTTGACAATTGAGTTATATCCCAGATTCAGAATCCACCTGAGACGCATCTAACAAATCAATACGAATACCGCTCAACTACTTCAGATAGTGTAGCCCTCTCAATGTTCGGTATATCCAGTTAGATAATTCTGTCTGTAACGCCGCGTATGACAAATCATTTTGAATATAATCTATTTCTCATATTTCTACCATGTGCTTTCGCTATCATGTATACGTATATACATATCTAATCACCCTCGACACGACTAAATAAAACACACTCAAATGTCACTGTCAACATTGCAATATCTGCATTATACACATGATAAACGCGTAGGTGGCCTATCAGCGATTGGTTTAAAGAAAGTGATGATTCTAAAAGTTTTTTTGATTGGAGGGATTGATGATGACCAGGATTTGAAAGCAGTCACCTTTACACAGTTGCTACTACTTCAAAAGGTCCGCCTCTGACATAACTGCTTACTCTCGGTTAGGACTTACTTGGTTCCTGTATGGAAAAATTATATATATATTTATACTAGCTGACCCGGCAAACGTTGTATTGCAAAACAAAAAAAAATGAGGGATGGGTCACCCTTACCATTTAGGGGTATGAAAAATAGATGTTGGCCGATTCTCAGACCTACCCGACGTGCACACAAAATTTCATGAGAATCGGTCAAGCCGTTTCGGAGGAGTACGGGAACGAATATTGTGATACGAGAATTTTACATATAAGATGATATTTTGTTCCAAATACGATTCTTTAAGGATTTCTATCAATTTTCATTAATTACAGACGAAACCTGTCAGCTCCAATCACTGCCTCGGGTGATTTTGATCGCTGCATGACATTCGATGCCAATTGGACACAAGTATTGCAAACGTTGCAGCCTCCACCGCCAGATTCACCCTTGGTACCGTGCCGGAATGGCTGGGAGTTTGAGTTGAGCGATATACCATATCATACGGTCTCTACAGAGGTAACGATATTTTTTTCCTTTTTTAGTCTTAAATATGATATACAGAAGCTTTATTTTGATAATATAACTGCTAAGTCATCTTTTAAAAATATTTTGAGATTGTCAAAATAAATTAGGTATCACTACTTGCATAGGTCACGTGGCCTAAGCAGGTCATAATATACTGGTTAATATGGCAGATAGCTCCAACTACTTTTCACTTTGAGATTCGTTATTTTTTTCCAAAAGCAAAGCGAAGCTAGTCTAAAAAAAGTAGCCTAAGTTACTCCTTATGTCATCAGTTATCTGCCAGTGAAAGTCCCGTAGAAATCGGTCCAGCCGTTCAAGAGATTACCCGGAACAAACAGACAGACAGACAGACAAAAATTGAAAAAAATGATATTTTGGCATATGTACCGTGTAAACATACATATGCATTTAGTAAAAAGCGGTTATTTTAATATTACAAACAAACACTCCAATTTTATTTATTTGAATATAATAGAAGACAATAACGAGAACTTTGACTTTCAGTTTTTGCGCTGAATAATATTTATTCTAGCCCCTAACTTTATAAATTATTGTTAACAGAGAGAATGGGTATGTGACAGAGCAAGCTACGTGCCCCTCGCCCAGTCACTATATTTCGTTGGATCTGTGGTGGGAGGGTTATTATTTGGATGGATGGCTGACAGATTTGGCAGAGTGCCTGCCTTAGTAGGTACGTATTTGTTTATAGTAATACTAATTTTATTATTAGAAATTAGTATCAAATAATTTATTTCGCTTAAATCGTGATAAATTATAATAATCTGTATTACCGTTTTAGTAATCCAGATTTAAGCCCATACGAGTATTAATCTATCAGAATTATATCATACACATCGTTTGTCTTCATTTAAATCTGATTTCGAGTTTAAATTGAAATTTGGCTAGCTATTAGTCTTCAATGTCGATGTATATATGTACTTATTTAAACATCTTTATTGCACACCGCTACAGTACTCGTATATACGAGTATTTTGTACCATCATGGATGTTACATGTGATATTACAATAGGCGGTTTCGTCATTCACGGCGATTTCTTACCATAGAGATAGTATAAAGAATGAGCGAACTGTAAATTCCTTTGTAACTGGTAGCGTACCGCTGTTAGACAGAAAAGTATATTGTTTGTGTGATTGGCTGATACTAAGAGGTCTTTTAAAATAGCCAATCAGTAACAAGAGCAGAGAGAGATGAAAGACTAAAACAATCTTCTTTCTCTTTCTACTAAACGTATGCGATAGGGCCTTATTTGCTTCCTCTATATTTATAAGCCCTTTGTCTCTTACAGACAGGAACACAGGAAAATAAGCTAACCATACCACGGATATTGTCAAATCTGATTCTGGGTAGTCTGTAGTGAACTTTTATAATACTCTAAGTAATTAATAATACATAAACATACATGTATTGTAATGATATAGGAAGTAACGTTCTTGTTTAATGGTCATATAATTATTATAAGAGATTTGTAAGTGTGGTAAAGGCGCTTACAGTTTTCGAAAATAAGCATTATTTTATAACGGAGTTCATATTTTTAAACTGACAAATCTTTTAATTTTCTCATAACTAATATGAATAAAACTATAAGCATGTTCATAGTTAATACTATCGATGTCAATTTAATGTCCGAATGTGTCCAAAAACTTGGGCATAAAACTGATAAAGTATTGTTTTGAAATATCCAGGCAAAGTATCTTCTAAACAATACAATCTTATTTCTATTGTTTTTCTTTGTATTTAATTATTACATGTATGTATTTATATATAAATAATCTTTCACTAAAAAGTATACGTCACATATTTTATCTACATTTCAGGAAGTAACTTGATTGGTGGTATTGGTGGCGTTGCGACTATTTTTACAACCGGCTTAGCTGATTTTATATTTTGTAGGTTTCTAGTTGGAATGGCGTACGATAATTGCTTTATGATTATGTATATTTTAGGTAAGTCATACAAAAATTACTAATTGTTAAACATGAAATAGTATTTAAGGAGACACACCCAGAAATCTAGCCGTTTTTGCGTTCCGTCTCCGTTTTCATGTACGGAGATTTAAAAAAAAGCACTTTTATCTCGCTTCGGGATAGGTAAAATCATTACAGTTCGAACGAAGTTCCTTATCGCGCGTTGTGAAAGGGGGCTAGACGGAAAAAATCTCACGAAAAGTTGTAACGACACTTTTTATTTTGAATTGTCACTTGTCAGTCATTCAGCGCCATCTATCGAATAGATAGGAAATCATTACTTTTTATCTCAGTAAAATTAAAATTTATGTTCTTAGGTCGAGCAAAAAATATTGTATTCGACATTATTTCTCAAGGAGATTTTACCAATGTATAAATTGTTTTAATTAGAAACCAACTGAAAAATTTGTAGGTAATAGCCGCTTTCATAGATGGCGTTGTAATTAAAATCGTGTCGAATCAGTTTTACTCGATCGTCACTACTTCGTTCCTGTCGGGTGTCCCACGATACCACACGGCTTTTTTTTTCTACTGTCATTAAACCTTTTGGGTGCTTCAAGACTATCTAAAAGTTTTCTTTTAGGGAATATCACGTAATTAGTCAAATCTAGAGGTCAATAATTGTTCTATCGAGAGTACTAAACCGAAGCTAACGCGATACAGTAATGCAAAAGGGTTTATAAGATTAATCAAAATTCAGATGTGAAGTGTTAACGCAAAGAGATAGATGATAAACGCAAATACAAATAACACTATTAGCTTTTATCAGGCGTTGTTATCAGCACGTGATAAGGTTATTAATTCATCAGGAGTTTATTAAGCTATAAGAGTATATTTTTTATTTGCATTAGTTTTCTAGTGTTGTTAATAGAGTTAAAAGAGCGGTTTCTTTCTTTGAATGTGAGTAGATAGTTGAATAGTTAGAAAAGAATAATAATTTACCTCACACATTTCAGACACGGCTGTCTGATTCCAAACTAGGCAGAGCCTGTACTATGGTAACCAGACTGCTGATAAACATACTTATATATTTTAAAATACATACATATTATATATAAATTACACCCAGACACAGAACAAATGACCGTGGTCGGCACACAATATCTGCCCTTCTTTTCTTTTTTTTTCCGTGCGGAAATCCCCTCGGATACCACCTATCGGTGGCATGTCGGACTCGAACCGACTAAAACCGCACGCCGTCTCGGCTACTAATAGCCGGGGAACCAGGTATACCCTAGAAAGACACAATATTTGCCCTGGGTGGGATGTCGGGGAGTAAACCCTCCGGCTTAGCAGTCAGGGCCGTCAAAAAACCAAATTACAATTTTTCGTCATAATAATTTACTGTTCTTTTGTTTATACACACACTAACGCCCATATCCTAGAAGGCATACTTATAGCCCACATTTTTAATCACACTTTGGGGAGCAAGCCCATGATCGTCAATCCATGACTTTAGACATTGAATGTTGGGCAAGGAAGGCAATAGTAGGAAAAGACTATACGAACAGATTAAAGACCAAAAGCAACAGTTTTAATTGTTTGAGTTTGAATTAAATACAAATTACTAGCTGTACCCTGCCATGCTTCCCTGTGGCACATTGTGATTGCAGTTGGCAGTTTTTGAAGTATACACAAACCAACTTAACATTTTTTGTAATATAAATATTTTCAAACATTGTTATAAATTATATTTTTCAATAGAAATGCATTTTTAATTTTCAGTTCTCGAATATGTGGATCCTGAAGACCGCACTATGGTAGCCAGTTTAAGTCTGGCATTGTTCTATGGAACTTCTGTCACACTGCTTCCCTGGATTGCCTATTTCATTGCAGACTGGAGAATTTTGCTATGGGTTACTTCACTGCCTTTGTTTTTAGTATTAGTAGCGCCATGGCTCATTCCTGAGAGTACAAGGTAAGATTATTACAACCACGATTACATTCACAATATATTTAAACTTTTTATTGTTAAATATGGACGTTTTTTTACCATTAACATCAAAATTTTGTTCTTAGTTATCTCAAAGTTGTATCTTTCCTCTTCTTCCTTGAGCTTCTTTGCTGAATCTTAAGATCGCTTCATTTATTGCTATACACCGTCGGGTCCGAATGAAGTCGGTGTTCCCAAAATAGACATGAAAGAAATATATATGCATAGGTAAAATCAAAGCTATGCTTAAAATTTATATCTAACTGGAGAAGTTCATATAACATTTACCTTTTAAGCTTCATCACAAAAGTACCTACTAATTTGTGTATATTTCCAGATGGCTAGTTAGTAGGGGTAAGGTGAACGACGCTATAAAAGTTCTTAGAAGATTTGAGAGAGTCAACAATGTAAAAATTCCTAATGAGCTAATGGCTGAATTTATTGTAAGTAAACTCAACTGAAGCCAGTTGTTCTTTTTTTTAATTTACTCACTGTTATCGTCATTACCTCACACGAATCACTTATATTGGATAATTTAGACAGCACGCATCCTAAATAACTTCATGATAAATTTATAGAATATTCTTTATTTTCCACCAATGACAGTATACCTACTGTTAAAATAATTTATGGACGCATGATTTAAGAAAGGGCGATTTGGTTGATTATTTGTTGTGTTCGTTGTAATTCAAGCGGTTTGTTACAACTTTTTTTTTTTGGAAAATCTACTAGTCAAAATTTAATAATTTAAGAAAGCAAAGTTATTTAAAGATTCACGACACGTTTAAATTTTTGACGTAAAACTTGACTTAAAGAAAGTCTCAAGCTGACTTAGATTTATAATTGGATAAAAATGGAGATCTAGAATTAATATTCAACTTTTTTTGAAATTTTTAACATGTTTTAGTGAAGATTTCCAATTGAACCCGGTGGGTATGTTATCGGGGTCAAGAAATTATTTATTTTTCGATCTCACTGTTTTAACTTACTTGCGTACATCCTCACTATCGGGCAGGACAACATCAGCGGTTTTTAAGCCCGCGAAAGCTTTCAATAAAAACATAGTAGTCGATGACATACCATTAAATATCCTCACAAATATACACACTGTACCCACATCTATCATTCAGTTTGCAAGTAACTTACTTTAATTACTTGAAAATTTTCAGATAACTTCAAACAACAAAAGACTAGAAGAAAGACAGTCTTTCCTCAATGTATTCAAGAGTGGTCCTTTGCGTCTTGCAACAGTCTGCTTACTGGTTGCTTATACTGGTTGTAATATGGTATTCGATGGACTCGTGAGACTCTCTGGATCTTTTGGTCTCGACTTCTTTCTCACGTTTAGTCTTAACTCTGGGACTGAAATACCAGCTCTAATTCTACTAGTTTTTATTCTTGACAGGTATGGACACAATATTTAAATAGCAGTTACATCTTTTTCATCAAAATATAATAAAAGTGCATTCCAAATACAGGGTGTAAGGGACATCGTAACGAGTATGTAATAGTGTATTCAGACCATAATTCTGAGTCGAAAATCGTTGGAATTTCTGCCATTTCCAATTATAAAAAAAAAACATCTGTTTTTTATTATTTGCCATTTTCTTGGTTAAAAATGAAATTTGGATATATGGTTAAATATGAAATTAATAAATACCGCATACGCATACGCAAACTGCAATTTAATTAATCAAACAGTGGGGCCCAACGGGGTGAGTAGACTGTTTGCACGGAATACACATATATTTATTACTTTTCTGTGATACCTACGGAAAATAGCCTTTACCTTTAACAACTGATTGCATAAAAAGTTTAATTTTCCGGCAGAAGATTCCAATGATTTCAGACTCAGAATGATGGTCTGAATACACTATTTCAGTATTCGTTACGATGTTCCTTACACCCTTTATAATTACTTAATTGATTGAATATGAGATAGAGAAAATGACAAAAAATAAACATGAGGAACTAGGTAACAAAATAAATATCGCACAAAATAAAGGCATTACAACAACATTATCTCTAATAAAAACATAAGTTTTTCATTATTTGATTGTGAGCAGTGATCAGTTTCAATTTCATAATAATGCTAACTCAAACTCGAACACAAAATATCTTTATTTTATAAAAACACATTAAAATTGTTGAAACCGTCTGTCGAAATACAGAATAGCAACAATATCTGTTTTGTCGCATAGTAAGCAAAAAAAATTAAATAAAAATTAAACTTATACCTGTGCCGATCTACAACCGCCTGTTTCCAAGGGGTTGAGCCTTATGAGAAGAAAGGGCAAACAAACTCCCGGCAACTCTTTTGAAATTATAATACAATCCAAACAGATACAATGGCATCATTAAATATACCACAAAATTATTTTGATAAGTGCCAATATGTCCGTTATTAAGGACTAAAAGGTAAACAGACAAAAGAAAATAAGATTAAGAAAAAAGATCGAATAAAAGAGAAAGTGGACAGAAACATTTTTTTTTAAATAAAAACACACTAGCCCACATCACATTTTCACTTAAGAAATAGCCTGCGCTAAATTAATTCGAAGCATTTTTGTCTTCTACATAATCCACAATTGAGTAATAGGCTTTCATACTTAAGTCTTGAATATGATTTTGTTATAAAATCAGACACATTGACCACGAAGCGACTTGTTTATTTTTTGGAGCCTAGAGACAATTTAAAAATAATGTGCTCTTAGAAAAATTGAAAAAAAAAATATATTTTGTTTTTAGATGGGGTAGAAGAAATCTCACGTGTGGATCTCTGATGATGTCTGGACTCTTTTTAGTAATTGCTATGTTCGTACAAAAAGGTAAGTTTTTCTATAATATTCCTGCAGCATCTCTACGCAGGTCGCATAGAAGTTTCAATAATATAATATCTACAATATGGATATCATTAATTATTCCGCAGGTATTGGTCAAGCGGCACTGGTTATATTTTCAAGATTTTTTATAAATATGGCTATTACAACCGTCACCCAATGGAACACAGAGATCTTCCCAACTCCCTTCAGAGCATCAGGGTCAGCTGTACTGCATCTGTGTGCGTTCTTCGCCACTATGTTGACACCTTTTATTGTTTACTCGGTAAGTACATTAGACTTTAGAAGAATGAGGTAGACCACCTACAGCACCCTTCCGAATGGCACCTAGCCTAGTCTACGAAAAGAAAATATTAATTTTTTTGGCAGTTGCTCTTCGAGGATTCATTTTTTTTTTACATTTTAGTTAGAGCACCAAAAAGACTCAGCAGTGTAATACTACGATACTACGATAAAAATCACTTGAATGTTAATTAATGACTGCACGGATGTCGTAGTGGTTTAAGCGGTCACCTCGGCGCTTCCTACTGCGCTGAGTGTCTATTACATAACAATCATGATTATAAATAAATGTTTGACTATTTTCAGGAACGCGTTTGGGGCTTATTGCCGCTGTTGATTTTTGCTGCAATAGTAGTAGTTACAGCAGGTGTTAGTTTGTCACTGCCAGAAACCAAAGGTCTGCAACTGCCGCAATCAGTGGCCGATGGCGAAAAAATTATTGTAGAACACTCACTGTGCGGGTTAGTAAACCTGTTGCTATTGATAAACGTACTATATATTTTAAATTTGATGAAGTTAATGGAACTTAGGGTCTACCTCCTAATTAATTTAGTTATTATGTGACGGTAGTGTGGTGACGGATTAAGAATACGGAATGTCACCACCCATATTCATACCGTGGGTGTCGTAAGAGCCGACTAAGGGTATAAACTGCACAGGACAACAGCACTGCAAAAAGAAGGAAAACTTGAAATGACTGCACGGATGGCGTAGTGGTTTAACAGGTCGCCACGCCGCTTCCTACTACGCCGAGTGTTGTGGGTTCAAACCCCACATGGGACGACACTTTGTGTGATCCACAAATTGTTGTCCTGCGTCTGGGTGTTCTTTGTGTCCGTTTCATGTATGTTTGTAAAGTTCCCCGCAACACAGGAATATATTCCTAATGCGGGCGTTGTCCTTTAGTAAAAAAAAAAAAGAAAAAAATACCCTACACCAACCCGTCTGGCCAGCGTGGTATAGTAGGCCAAAACCTCCTTTCTAAGGAGAGGCTTATGTTCAGCAGTGGACTATTATAGGCTGTTGATGTGATGGGGTTAAGTAATTAAATTTTTAGATAGCGACATAGGATTGAGATTTTAAAAAGGACCAAATTGACGTGATTATTATTAGATTTATTGAGGTAAAAGCGCATTTTTCAGAGGAAGAAAACAAAACCCAAATTTTCCAAGCTATGTTAACTATTTCTTGGGTAATCGGTTATAACACTCTTAAAATGTGACCATAAGTTTCAGTAAAAGTCTATACTTACTTGTTGTAAAGGCTTGTGTTGATATATTTCTATTCTTTGTTACTTTAAAAAAAAATCCTCTCTGGCAGTTTACAAAAGCCTCATAAATAGAAGCATTCTAAAGTAGAGTAGCCGGTTTTCAACACTCTGCTTTAATGAATTCCTTTTTAAATCATTTATTATAAAGCATAAAATTTAGCAGCATTGATGTACGCAGATAACGTCGTCAAAACGTGTGTTGAATCAGTATGATGATGTTAAGAAGGGTTAGTTTGACCTGACAACTAAAGGCAGATTGTCCTGGAGGCACAAAATTAGGAAGGCCAGCGATACATGAAATAGGAACCAGTGGAAATCTTTCGTAGTTTTAACCAATACTTCTTATTAAGTCTGTTACCGGTTTCAAGACTTCTGAATTTGCCCAAATTTTGCTTGGTGTTTTCTAGAGACACTGCTGTTGATCCTGGCGCACAGAAGCTTAGACTGTTGGAATTTGGGTAGAATTATTCTCCTATAATGAAAATCTTAAAAAAGAAAATAATATGAGAATATTTTTTATTGCAGAAAACCAGAAGATGGAGAAGAAGGTCCATACCAAACAGATGTCACCAAACGTCATTTAAATGACAATGTATGACGGATGTTTAGTGAATGAACAAAAGTATTTTTGTCACTGTACCTGTATTTCCATAAACTTAGTTTAATGGCGTAAATTATACTAAGTTTGTGTGTATTCGACAATATATTATGTTTGACATGTTTTTTGTATTATAAATTAATTCAATAATGAATTTCGAATGGGGATGAGAGTAAGATATATTCTTGGTAGAGAATTTTTAAAGAACAAAGTAACCATTTGTATTTTATTCCTGTACAAATTGTAATAAGTGCCGCCGAAATATTTTATACAGTTTTAATGTACTTCAAATTTTTTGACATACAATACAGTACAATACAAAACATACATGTGTCAAAAAATAATTGAATATCCAGAAGGTATTATTTCCTTGCATGTTTGTGATTAAGATTGATGAAGTGATTTTTTTAAATTGAAAACTAGTGACGTGTTATACACATTATTAGTAGATCTAGTTAAGTATTAAGTCTAATCCAAATACTTGTATTAGTAGTGGGTCTACGCTGGTAATATCCTGGGTGTGGTTTAGATCTAAAATCAGCCGGTCGACGCCCTAGCCAATAATCTACTGCAGCTTTTTAAATTAAAATTTTATTTTATTTAGTTGTAAGTAGAAAAGACTATTTGTTATTTTTTTATTTAATTAAATGAATAAGTAGGTTTGAAATAACTTTATGCTTAAGAATAAGCCTGATAGTGTTGCTATATAATAATATCAAGGATTTACTTTGTAAATATATTTATCTGTTTTAAAAAGTTTAATAAAGGAAATGATTTCTAAAATATATTTTTTTAATATTTTGCCGATAGTGATAAGAGAAAGACTACCTGCGTGAATGCAAAGATAAGACACACCTGCACACACCTATCAACACTAACACATTCAAGTAAACGCACACATTCTCCCAAGTGAACGTTCATCAACACAAACACATACACACACACATACAAAAACACAGAAACGAACACAGGGTGTATTCTTTAATTTATTATCGTACTTCATTAATCCAGACGAATTACTGCCTTACTATCGTGTACGTGTACTATCTGTATTGGCTTCCGTTGCCAATACGTGGACACTTACGGTGAAGTTGGTCCACAATCTGATACCGAGGTAACCGACGTAGCTTAAATTGCAAACACAGAAGTCTTCGAAGAATGGCACCTTCATATGTGTGATGTTTCAAATGCATCACATGACAGCAGATAAACCAAATGATTTAAAATTAGGACAAAAATTACTGGCTCGGCCCAACTCACTGTCGACTACACTCCTTCTCCAAGGTCTTGTTTATGTATAGTTACTAAAACAATTGGTTCTAAACGTTCATGAATCACGACTGAGTACCCATTTTAACTTTTATCCCTCTCCTTAAGAAAACTGTCATGAATTCGGGATATAATTATCCAGTGTCTTGACATAAGGTATGGTAGTTTAAGTCATGCTAAATTTCAACTTTTGGTTAATGGCTTTGTGGTAGAGTGTAACCACAATTTCGCCAAATGCTAAATTTCATTGAGATCCATACACAAATTTGGCAAACAGGCCATGATACAGATAGAAAAATACACAGACAGCAAACAGGCAGATATACCAAAAAGTTATAAACACGACCTTCCTGGCAAAAAGTTTAGGTAGGTTCACGACCCTTCAACAGTATCATTCCTTTTATACGTACCTACAACTGAAAAGATGCTGTAAGCGCAAATGATGCCGAATGAAAAAATGCCGAAATATTGACAACTAATTATCGTAAATGAACATTTTAAATATCCCGTTTCTAACTTATCAAGTGAAACTGACCATGCTAGTTTAAATCAATACCTTTTCTTTCATAATCATTCTTACGTACTTTTTTCCTTTCAACTTATTTTCTAATTTTTCTATCTTATCCATTAAGTGCTCCATTATTGCATATAGCCCCTGGTATGTCATCTGGAAGCGGAGAATCGAACCTCCGAACCGATCGGCCTATGTCCAGCAGTGGACTGCAATAGGCTGATAATGATGGTGTAATCTTTATTTTCTCACCCCTTTCCCAAGTTTATTGGGGTTCGTTGCAATGAGTTTTCGTTGCATTCTCCTCTATCTCTCCTCTTCTCTTCCACGCAGTCCTTTATTTGGTACAATGTGATATGGGTGTATTGGTGTATGTATTCAATTTCGGCAACTATTGTGGCAGATTTTAGTATCCGATAGTAATGAATACGGTAACCGATAGCGCTGAGCTGATAATATAATAAATATTGTATTTTATCAGTTTCCATCTAACTGTGTTACTCTTATCGCGTATTGGTCAGAATATTATATGAAAATTCCACGCAAAGAAATTTATCATTCATTAACAATTCATCACAGTCATGTAAAGTTTAATAAATAGTGTTTTAAGTTTAATAAATAGTGTTTTAATAAATAGAAACCAAAATGGAGAGTGAAAAAATAAAATTAGAAAATCTGAATGTAAGTTTATTTTTATTTCAATGTTGTTTTTTTTGTGTGTAGTGGTGTTTAACTCGTTAAAAATAGTTATATAATAAACTTAAATAATATTGGTTGTCAATAAAACAATAGGTACTCGAAAATTTAATTTAAAAAAATAATAATTAAATATCTGAAGATATTTGTAATAATTGTAGTTTAGTAAAATGTATATGACAAACCGCACTAAAATTTACTATCACCACCTCCTGCGTTCATCAGCAGGCTATCATTAAGTAACAAGTTCAAACTGTTGTTGTTATGAGCCCAAACCTGGCGGAGTTCATGGTAGCTATTGAAGAGTCGAAGTATCTATCTCTTGGCTTATCTTCAGACCAGCTCCAAGTTGCATAATTATATATCTCACATACATATACACACTCACATATACATATGTGTGTACACACATATATAAAAAAATAAAATATTGAAGTGTATATCTATGAATTTAAAACATACGTGAAGCTAGTAAGGTAATTTAATACAGCCAATATGATACCAAAGCCAAAACACGTGTTAGAACTTTTCGTTCCTGTCTTTATGTCTTTGTATATCTCTGTTCGTTTGGGATAATATGTGAGCCGATTGGATCGATTTTACCAGGAGTTTCATCATCAGGATATGGACATAACATGGCGACAACATCATCACATAATCAACAGCCTTTAATAGTCCACTACTGGACATAGGCCTCTCCTTAGAAAGGAGGTTATGGCGACAACACATACCTTTAATTGTTAGCTTCAAGGTAGTGGATAAAGAAATATTAATTCATTTTCATCATTGACATCAGCTATTTTCTATAATAAGTTTCATTCCCATACGAAAATTAGAAGTGGTTAAAATTAACTTAAACGATTTGTTCTAGCTAGCTGATTAGTTACAAATGAAGCTAATAAAATGTGTTATATGATATGTTTATATAAAATGTTTATATGTTTATATAAAATGATCGATCGATAGTAGATGTTTATTTAGAGTTCATAAAACGGTGAAACGTGGAAATATATGCGCTGGATTGACCGGAACGATATCACGCCCGCTCAGAAAACCGGTGTTAGGTAATCTTTCGCTGCATTTCATGGGGCATGTGAGGTTAGCGGAGCCACAATTCTCTTAATTCTGAGAGAACACTCTTAAAGACTCCTGACTCAAGTTGAGTGTGCAACCACACAAATAAATTTCTTTACGTGTTAATAAAGCTATATACCACACGGCGGCGGTAGTCACTTTCCGTCAGGTGACCCGTCTGCTAGTTTGCTTCCTAATAATTAATTATTGTATTTTCAGTACAGTATTGTATTTTTCTCCTTGACTTTATTATTTTTCGTTTAATAATTTATTATATCATGCATTCATAGGATGTGACAGAAAAAGTTAACGACGAGCCCGTCAATGAAGACCTAATACTGGACACAGTGTTATCATATTTGGGTGATTTGGGTCTTTACCAGAAGCTGCTGTTTATTGGAATGTTACCTTTTGGTTGCTGTTTAACTTTCATCTACCTCGTGCAAATATTTATAACCGTCACACCTCAAAACCATTGGTGCAGAGTACCTGAACTGGCTAATTTAAGTATGGAGTTGAGGTTTGTTTAAACAACTTTTATTTTTAAAAATGTCTCATCATCATCAACAGCCTTAATTAGTCCACTGCTGGACATAGGCCTCTCCTTAGAAAGGAGGTTTTAGCCTACTATTCCACGCTGGCCAGACGGGTTGGTATAGGGTTTGTGTCAAGTTTTCCTTCTCTTTGCAGTGCTATTGTCCTGCGTAGTTTGCTCCCTTAGTCGGCTTTTACGACACCCACGGGATGACTAGGGGTGGTGACTCTCCGTATTCTTAATCCGTCACCACACGGACTATGAATAAATTAGACTTATTTGATTGCAATAAAGAATGTATATTTTTCAGTTCCAAAAGTAAACGTATTGAGTTCCAAAAGTAAACGTACCAAAAGTAAATATGTCTATTTTTTCCAATTTTATTAATACTACATTATCATATGACAAAGTAAAAATAATCTTTTTTATTTTATTGTACTCACAGATTTATTTATGTATTTATTTGTTGTGTATGTATGCGTTTATGACTCCTGAGTTGCAGACGTTCATGGGCGGCGATGGTCACTTTCTATTAGGAGGCTCAACATAATAAAATATTCTACATTGAAATATTTAACAGAAGTGAAATGGGTAGGTTCCCGTACATTATATAGAGTACGTAAGCGTAAGTCTAATCTAACCGTGATACTTAACCGTTACTAAAGATATGAATGTATATTTATTTTATTACACAATCACGCAACGTAAACACAGAAATTTATTTTACCTTTTACAAACATATTTTTATCAGTGAGTTAGTGTATATACCTATTGTATTCAAGTCTGTAGTGCATACATGCAAACAATAAATACATTACAAATATTGTAGACAATATCTGTACTCTATAATAAGTAAACGTTAAGTTTTCTAAATAAGTTAAGCCCATATGTAAAAATAATAGTTTTAGGGTGAGCATACTAAACTGATTTTCGTTAATATATTGAATGAAGTCCATGTAAGCCATTTATGAAGAATAAAAACAAAATAGAACTAAACATAGGCACTGCCCAGTGGAACCCCATAAAGTCGGTTACAAAATTACATGAGTTTACAATACTGGATATCGTTGTATGTAACATGTACTTAATTGGTACATACTTATTTAAAATTAATCGCTAACTGTCACATGATTACAATATTCTATGTTTCGTTTATTAAAACTAATTTTCATTACATTTCAACAAAGCCGTGTAACAAATAATAATAATAATAATAATAAATTTATTTGTCAGGATATTGTTGAGGTACAGGTGTTAGACATAATATGACATCCATAATATTCTGCTGTTTCCAGCGTACAAATATTTAGAGGAAGTATTAGTAAATACAATGTCAAGAATTATTAAATACAATGTCAAAAAAGATTAAATAAAATGTCAAGAATTATTAAATATACTTGAGGATTATAAATATAATGTAAAAATTATTCAAAACAATGTTATAGGTATTAAATTGAATTGAATTATTGAGAATATAAAGGCAAGTTGTCGTCTAATTTATAATTTGAATCATCTTTTGTTGAGTAGTAACACTTATACAATAGAAAGTCAAAATATTTATTTTTAAATGTCATGAAGTTAATGTTTTTAAAAACATTAGGTAATTTATTATAACCACGAATTGTCATACAGTAAACATTTTTGGGAAATAATTTAATTCTTACACACACACACGGGATACACATAATTTGTGGATATTTCGGCTTTTTCTTATAACAACGTCATTATGTACTCTACATTCGCTTTCATCTTAAATTTTAAAGTACAGAGCGTACTCCCACCTTAAAGCCCAGCAACGCTCAAGACGCTTGAGTTACACATCCACTTAAAGACCAATTCTCGTAATAAAAGTTCGGTCACAATTTAGTTCCGATCAACTCTTGATGGCACAACTGTCACAAAAGGTATTTTCGTAGTAAAGTATTTAACATCCAACGTTGACTGTGATGGGATTATATCGTATTGTAACCGAAAATTGAAACGATAATCTGCTAGTCTTAGTAGGTTATACTTTATTTATTTATTTATTTACACATCATGCACATTTGGTGCATTGGCGGACTTAATGCCTGAGGCATTTTCTACCAGTCAACCATTGGGTGATGCAGAGAAAACAGGAAGTAGGTGCATTTTAGTTACAGTTGATTTAGACATTTTATATTACATGTATACTTTATACAAAATCATATAATATATACACATATACAAATCTGTCATATACTACACATATACATATTAATATTACACATAAGTACATACCTTATAATATATAAATACTATATAAAAGTATATGAATACATACATACACACGCAAGTAGATACTGATAACAATTTAGTATTAAAATAAAAAGAAATCATGAGCAATTTGATTCTGAAAGTTGTTTGACCAGATAATGCTTTACTTTTAATTTAAAGGAAAAAGTACTGGAAGCCACTTTACTATTTTACTACGAAAATACCTTTCATGATAGTTGGGAGATCGAGAGTTGATCAGGAACTGAATTGTGACCGAACTTTTATTACGAGAATTCGCCATCTGAGCAGCAATAGTCATTAATGGTAAATGACTATTGCTGCCCAGAAGGCCAAGTCTGCACGAAAAAGAAGAAAAAAACTGTTTTCTTTGTTCTGTGTTTTATCCACTAAATCAAAAAAAAACATTTTCAGTTCAGGTTCCAGCTCCTTACTATAGGGGATTGACCTGATTGTTACACATACCATACTAATCAGTGAGATCACTAAGAGAGAAAATATAAAAATAACTTTACACATCTCACACACGACAGCCTGATCCCAGACTAGGCAGAGCCTGTGCTACGGTAACCAGACTGCTGATAAACATACTAAAATATTTCTAAATACATACAAATTGTAGATCATATATGAGTATATTATTATGAACAAATAATCGTGCTCATCACATAATTTTTGTTCCAGGTGGGAATCGAACCCACCCTTCGGCTTAGCAGTTAGGATCACAACCCACTAGATTAGACCAACAGGACAAATATGCAACCAGCAACCATAGAGAACGTTTCTACGTCTATTTTTTTTTAAACAGTTATGTAATAGGTTTTATAACTGGCATGATGTAATAAGTGGATTCGTGTAATCATACAAACTACGGCTGTCTGGAAATAGCGGTTTTATAGTCCATTTTATACCCATATCATCAGAAGACTTATTGCTTGATAAAGGATTATTATCAGAGATTAATTTGTAATTACTACTTTACTTACGTTCTCCACATACATATTAATTCTTTATTGTTATAATTATTAAATAAAAAAAGGTATCATATAGTATAAATTTGTTCAATGTTATTTTTTTTACAAGTCATAATACTTACGATACAAGCGCCTTTTTTTTTGTTGACGGGGCGGAAAATCCCTTCGGATCTCCGACTCCTCAGGGACGCTAGAGCCAGGAGTATGTGGTGTTTTCAATAAAAATCACCCTGACCAGGGACCCGGACCATGTTATTTCATGTAAAGCCCATTCTGGCTGGAGGGGCATTTAGATGACGCGGTGTTGTCCGCCTCCTATACTGAGCGTAAAAAAAAAGATTATATGTTTTTTTTTAAGAATTATCTATTAATTTTCATATATTCCAGACGAAACCTGTCAGCGCCAATCACTGCCTCGGGTGAGTTTGATCGTTGCATGACATTTGATGCCAATTGGACACAAGTATTGCAAACGTTGCAGCCTCCACCGCCAGATTCACCCTTGGTACCGTGCCGGAATGGCTGGGAGTTTGAGTTAAGCGATATACCATATCATACGGTCTCTACAGAGGTGAGTTCTAGCGAAATTCCATGATAATAGATATATACAGCGATAAGATACGATTAAATCAATCTTTTGAAATCTAGTAAATATAGACATTGACATATATTGGTATTTGTAAAAGTAAAGTAATTTTACAGACTGCAGTTAAAAGATTTATTATATGCCATTGCATTTTTGATTATTAAATTGCATTATTATATGCCATTATAAAAATGATAAAAGTCGATTATAACATTTGAACTGCACGGATAGCGTAGTGGTTTAAGCGGTCGCCACGGCGCTTACTACTACGCTGAGTGTTTTTCTTTTTTTTTTTTATCACATTCACACAACACCATCTAGTCCCAAACTAAGCAGAGCTTGTACTATGGGTACTAGATAACTGATATAAATACACATATACTTTATTTTGTAAATACATACATATAATACATAGAAACACCCAGACCAAATCAAACACACGTGTTGTGGGTCCGATCATCACATGGGACGACACCTAGTGTGTTCCACAAATTGTTGTTCTGAGTCTGGGTGTTCTTTGTGTCCGTTTCATGTATGTTTGTAAAGTTCCCCGCGATTTATTCCTAGTGCGGGAGTTGTCTTTCTAAAAAATAAAAAGAAAAAATAACATAAAACATAACAAAGTTGTCGAATGTCGATTATGTACAATTTATTATTAGTCCACTGCTGGACATAAGCCTTTCCTTAGAAAGGAGATTTTGGCCTGGTATACCACGCTGGCGACACGGATTGGTATAGGGTTTGTGTTAAGTTTTCCTTCTATTTGCAACGCTGTTGTGTTTGCTCTCTTGGTCGACGCTTACGACACCCACGGAATGAATAGTGGGTGACACTCCTTATTCTCAATCCGTCACCACACGGATGTTGAACAAATATTTAGTATTGAATATTTGTGATATTTCATTGTAAGTGGACTTTAAGTCCTTATGAGAAGCTTTTTAAATCTTAAATAACTTGTCAAGCGTCCTAAACTTAATCACTAAATAATATTAGAATACATGGTACAACAATTTAAGTTGATATTTAGAAATAACCACAACTTTTAGGCACTATATAATGTAAAAATTTAAACCTCAATTTTTTTATTCAAACTTCAACCTATTGATTTAGTAAATTTAGATTGCATTACATCATGTTTCTAGTTGTATTGAAAATGTATACAACATTCTAGTTATTTTTGATCAATGGTAAACAGTAATCCATAAAAGCTCACATTGGACACAGTTACCAGCTAAAAAACTTGCCGCGGGGTCACTGCCCTGCAGATACTTGCATAGTATTATAAAATAGCACTTTAATCTCCCGGTGATTACTACTGGTATGAGGATTGCAATTCTGGATATAAATGATTTTTCTTCTAGCTCTTATTTTTATAAATTATTATCAACAGAGAGAATGGGTGTGTGATAGAGCAAGCTACGTGCCACTGGCACAATCGCTATATTTCGTCGGTGCTGTGGTGGGAGGTTTATTATTTGGATGGATGGCTGACCGTTTTGGCAGAGTACCTGCCTTAGTAGGTACGTATTCGTTTTATTTATATAATCTTATACAAATTGTATGTTTGACGTGGGAGAGCACTGCTTTATCATAAATGGACCGGCTTGAATAAGTAAGTTTTTGGTTGCTTTTCATCGAGTGATTACGAGGTTATCAACAGCCTTTAGTAGTCCACTAGATGAGTTTGTGTCAAGTTTTCCTTCTCTTTGCAGTGGTTGCGAACCCGTCGTGGAGTCTAGTAGATGAATAAGGGTGTTGACACTCTTTATTCTTAATCCGTCACAAAAGAGTTGAACCGACTTTAAACAATACTAACAAAGAGCACAAAAAACACTGCAGCAAATGCGATCGATTTGATGTCATTTTTTGTAGAGTTCCGTTGTCTGTCTCCGAAACTTATCATCAGATCTATATGAAATTTAAATGGGACCATTTCTGAATAAACCCCATTCGAACAAAAAAGAATTTTTCAAATTCGTCTAAATATTACGAAGTATTATATATTAAATATTACGAAGTATTATTAAGAATTATTATTATATTATGCCTGAACTTACATTGAAAAAAAAACATATAAACATCCGAATTGATAACCTCCTCCGTTTTGGAGTCGGTTAAAAAGAGCGCGTACTCCCACCAGAAAGGCCGGCAATGCACTAATGACTTATGAGTTGTCATGGTCTGCAGCAGTGACCTGTTTTTTTGCCTGTGCGGAAGTTGCCGGGTGACCTGGTGTACCCTAGAAAGGACAGCCCTGGTACGGCAGTAGTAGACCTTTTTTTTTGACGGGTTAGAAAATCCCTTTCGATCTCCTGCTCCTCGGGGACTCAGAAGCTAGGAGTATGTGGTGATTCCACTAAAAACCACACCGACGGCCGGCCTCAGGTGCCCTACTCTGGGAGGACCTGGACCTGTGGCTGACATAATGTTACGGCAGTAGAGACCTAACATTATGTCAGCCACTTACTCATTTGCCAGTATATCACAAAATAACACAACGACCTTTCAATAAAAAGCATGATCGTCACGATACACGATTTTCTCTTCATTTCAGGAACTAATTTGGTTGCTGGTATTGGTGGCGTTGCAACTGTATTTACAACCGGCTTAGTTGATTTTATAATCTGTAGATTCCTTGTTGGAATGGCGTTTGATAACTGTTTTATGATTATGTACATTTTAGGTAAGTCTTAATTATAACCGAGCAGTTATTGCTTCCTTACGTCATGCCTTTATTTAGGTGTGACCTTAAAATTATCTCCCTAGTTCCGTCATATCTATAAACCTTTTAAATACTTCCGACTAGATTCCTGGTCTAGTGGTTAGTGACCTGTCTGCTAAGTCAGAGTTCGTGGGTTCGATTTCCACCCAGGACAAACAATTATGTGATGAGCACGATTATTTATTCTATTTCGGGGTGTAATTTATCTATAATACTCATATATGTATGTTTTTAGAAATATTTAAGTATGTTTAACAGCAGTCTGGTTACCGTAGCACAAACTCCGCCTAGTTTGGGATAAGACAGCCGTATCAGAATAATGTGCAGTTATATTAAACACATCGGGTATCAGGTTTTGACCTACTATACTCGTACCACGCTGGCCAGACGGGTTGGTATAGGGTTTGTGTCAAGTTTTCCTTCTCTATGCAGTGCTGTGGTCCTGCGTAATTTGCTCCTTTAGTCGCCTCTTACGACACCCAGGGGATGAATAGGGGTGGTGACACTCTCTGATTCTCTCATTCTTAATCCGTCACCACACGGACAATATATGTATGTATATAACTAGGTAAATATTTATGTTTGTGTATGTTTTTGGCACGTATATATGTATGTAAATTTATTTCATTATTTCTGTCTAACCTCACAATAATTTTCTCTTACTTTCCACATCAATGTATAGTGCACCTAGTCACACATATCAGCATCACCCTAAGGTAGAGTGGGACAAAATGCCTGTGGCATTAAGTCCACCATTGTACTACATATGTGTGCATAAAAAATTATAAGATATATATAGCCCCATAGATCATAGGTCTTAATAAAGTGATTGATAACTGGAAATAGCAAGGGCACAATTAGTGTTTATCAGGCGCTATTATTAGGACATGCCTTATTTATTAGTTTTTATCAGATGCTATTTACGGGACACGATCTAGTTATTAGCCGTTATCAACTACCTCAACCTCATTCAGAATAATATCCATGGTAATGTTATAAATCCGAAAGTGTGTCTGTCTGTCCTGTCTGTCACGCTTAAACCTTTGACCCGATTTAGATGAAATTTCATACAGAGATAGGTTGAGTCCCGGGAAAGGACATGAATATAGCAAAAAATACTTTTCTTTTCCCATACAAACCACAGAGAAAATTAAAACATCTATTCCTAGCTGTCCAACATATAACGTCAATCAAAACAAAACTAAGGCGTTGATTAGGCTGTAAAGATATCAATCGATGCCTGCTCAAAATAAAGTTCAAAAGGGGTTGCCTGTCATCTTAGAAAATAATATTAGTGACGGACGTGTCATCATTACTCCCTCTGTATGTGGCATCAAAAGTCAGTTGGGGCATCTCGTATATGTATAATAAATGTACGTGTCCTCAGGCATAACCGGTGATGTCGCCCGACGTCGCTTAATGAAAACCTTCTACTAGAAAAGAAAAAAAAAACGAATAGAATTTATACGTTTTTCTATCATTACTTATTTATTATTAAACTATTGCATAGCTTCTATCGCGGGCCTTGAGCGTGGAGACCGAATCCAGAAATTCCGTAACGAAAATAACCTAACACCCGCCACTCCGACCGGCACAGCGGTGATACTTTTTAGTTTTGCCATCTATCGATTAATAGCAGAACTTTTAATGACTTTTTTGAAATATCACGCTTGTCTCTTTAGTTCAGCAACTCGCCTCTAGGTGGCATTGGTTGTGACGCGGTATTTTCCAGATATTTAGAAGATATCAAGTCTCAAACTTATGTTTCTTATTTCAGTTACCATAAACCTATAGTTTCAATGATAAATATTCCTAAATAACCTACATGTAGTGTAAGATAATAAAAATATTTTGAACAATATTAACTTCACATTTATTTAATAAAAGAAAAAAAAATGTTTTCTTATCGGTCACCACGCTCAAAAAGTGTAACTTGAATTGAAAACAAAGGAAAAAAATACTGCATAAATAAAATAAATAAATAATTATAATTGCATAAGTTGATAAAAAATGTCCCCGAGTGCCACACGTCTTTTTTTATTTTATATATTTTACATCTTAAGAAATAGTGCTTTCTAACTTTACATTTTTACTTAACTACGTTGATTTATTATTTTATGCTTTCTTAGGTTCATAATAACAAATGACTTCTAATTTATACGCAGAAATATACAGAACCTTGCTTTATTGAACACAAAATATAAAGTTAAACGAATATATTCCAATATTATGTTTTTAATCTGTTCTTTAATATAAATATTTTTCAATTCTAGTCCTGGAATACGTTGGACCTCAATACCGCACTATGGTAGCCAGTTTAAGTCTGGCATTGTTCTATGGAGGTTCAGTCACGCTGCTTCCCTGGATCGCATATTTTATTGCTGATTGGAAAATGTTGGCGTGGGTCACTTCGCTGCCTATGTTTTTAGTATTACTAGCGCCGTGGCTCATACCAGAGAGTACAAGGTACAATTTATTTCATAAATTTGATAGATTAATTTTAACATTTAAAGCTATGGCCTCGTATGTCCTTTCGTGGTATAAAAAGTACGAATTAGTCTACTTAGTTCAGACTCATATTTTAAGTCTTTAGCCAGAGAAACCAACTAACATACTAATTTTAGTACGAAATGTTTTTCTACCATTTTACAATATAACAATTGTGTGATGGTAGAATCTGTAGGTGTAAGAGGAAGTGTATTTTTTTACATTTTCGGTAAAAAAAATATACATATCTATGTAAAATCGGTTAATTCTTTTTAATGTTAGTATTAAAACATTATTTTTAAAACATAATTACTTACGAGGATAAATTTCAGTTTGAGATCTTTGCATGGTTAATAATATATCACGGTTTGTTAAAAATAAATACTTTAAAAAAAAAGTTGAACCGACTTCAAACAATCCTACCAAAGAGCACTAAAACCCTAGCAGCAATCGCGGTTGATTTGGTGTCTTTTTTTTAATAGTTCCGTTGTCTGTCTCCGAAACTCATCATGAGATCTATTTCAATTTAAATTGGACCCTTTTGGAATAAATCCCTTTCGAACAAAAAAAGAATTTTAAAAATCCGTCTATATGTGAAGGAGTTATGTTCGAACATACATTTAAAAAAATATAGAAACATCAGAATTGATAACCTCCTCCTTTTTGAAGTCGATTAAAACTCAACAACGATATCAACCAAAAACAAGAAAAAGATACATTTTCATATTTACAACTTAGAAATACCCTTTTTTTTTTTTTTTTTTTTTTTCCGTGCGGAAATCCCCTCGGATACCACCTGTCGGTGGCATGTCGGATTCGAACCGACTAAAACCGCACGCCTTCGCCGGGTACTAATAGCCGGGGAACCAGGTATACCCTAGAAAGGAAGGCCCTGGTGCCCCGACATACCTCGGGTCATCTACAGACGAGTAGACGACCCCCGCCCCGTGTGGGAACCCCATGTTCCCTGTGCTCCCTGGAAGCGAGCGCGCTTCGCAACGCGCTCGCCGCCACCCCGGCCTGCTTCTGCTAGGGTGACAGATGGCCTCACCTGTCACCCCCAGGCCTGCGCTTATGGAGGACGGAGGTCGTTCTGCGACCTCCGGCGCCTGAGTCGCCTGCGCTGCCTGGCCCGTGCCCGGGCCTGGCGGGCCGGGAGAGTTCTAAACCTCTCCCGGTCCCGCTCCGCCGTCTCCTTCGCGAGCATAACTTGCTCGCAGAAGGAGACGGCAGAGTTCCACGCACTCTCGCTCCGCACGATAGCCGCAATCAGGCTATCGAGCGAGAGAACTCCCACTCCGATGGCCGCCACGAGGTCTCGCCTCTGCTCAACCCACGCCGGGCACTCTGCCAGCGTGTGGAGAGCCGTGTCCACGGTCTGGCCATCGCAGTGGTGGCACTCAGGCGTTGGCTCCTTGCGGATCAGACACAGGTGATCTCCGAAACATCCCTTCCCAGTGATCACCTGCGTCAATCGGTATGAGAGGGTCCCGTGACGCCTCTCGAGCCAATCCTCCATAACGGGTCTTACCGCCGCAATGACGGCGTGCCCGGCGCTCGGTTGCCCGAGTCGTTCCCTCCACTCCCCTATGATGACCTGGCGGAGTTGGGATTTCCGGTCATCGATTTCTCGAATCTCGGGGTATCGACCCAACTCCTGCGCCTCCTTGCGCCACTGATACAGTGCTGCAAGGGCTCTCGCCTCCAGGTCCCACGGTGGAGTTCCGGCCAGGAGACTCGCCGCCTCGAAGGAGATCGTGCGGTACCCCCTTATGATCCTGATGGCCAGCATTCGCTGCGGTCGCCGCAGTATCGCGACGTTGCTGGCCTTCAGGGCCCCCGCCCATACTGGGCACCCGTAAAGGGCCATGGACCGCACAACCCCCGAGTAGAGTCTCCGGCAGGAGTCATCGGGTCCCTTCATGTTGGGCAGCAGCCGCGCCAACGCACGCGCTGCCCCAACCAACTTGGGGACCAGACCTCGGAAATGATATCCGAAGTCCCATCGGCCATCGAGTACGAGCCCCAGATACCTGATCGAGGGCTCGATGCCGATGCGAGTGCCTCCTACCGTGAGGCTAGATCCCTCAGGCGGCTTCCTCCGAAGCCCGTGAAAGAACAGGGCCTCGGACTTGTGCAGAGCCACCTCGAGACCCAGCCGCCGGATACGCTCAACGACTTGGGCAACCCCGGCCGTGGCCCTCAGGGTTGCCTCGTGGTGCGTCTTGCCGCGCGCCGTCACGAGTGTGTCGTCCGCGTAGCACACGACGGCGACACCATCCAAGAAGGTACCACGAAGCACCCAGTCGTAGCCGATGTTCCACAAGAGTGGCCCTAACACCGACCCCTGCGGAACACCGCACGACATTTCACGCCTACCGAGACCGGTCCTACTGGGGTAGACGACGGCTCTCTCCGACAAATATGCCCCGACTATGCGGCGGAGGTAGAGAGGCACTTCGTGATACACGAGCGCCTCCCTGATGCAGCTCCAGGGCATAGTGTTGAACGCGTTGGCGATGTCCAAGGACACCGCCAACACCACTTCGCCCCGGGAGACTGCTTCCTCCGCCAGAGCCTTCACGCGCATGATCGCATCCACGGTGGAGCGCCCCTGACGGAAACCGTACTGGTTGTCCGCCAGATCCGGCCCAACCATCACGAGATGCTTGACGAGGCGCCTTGCAATCACTCTTTCAAAGAGCTTGCACACCTCGTCAAGCAACACTATGGGCCGGTAGGCGGACGGTGAGTCCGCCGGGCGCCCCTCCTTTCGGATGAGGACCAGTTTCCCCGTCCTCCACAATTTCGGAAACTGGCCCCGCTCGAGGCATGCGCTGAAGAACCCTCGCAGTCGGGGCTCGAGAGCCTCGTCGACTAAGGCCAGGACCCACGCTCGGCCAAGAATGCCATCGGGTCCCGGGGCGGTGTTTTTGGCTTTAAGCCGTAACACCGCCACCCTTAGTTCCACCCCAGTGACCTCAGGCACGTCGTCGTCATCCACGTTAGGCGCCTCAAGCGCCGGAGGCGGAGCCATCTGTGGCGGAGTATGCTCCACCACTCGCGTTGGGAACAGGGAGCCAACGACCCTCTCAAGCAGCTCTGGCTGAAGACACCGTGTGAGCGGCGGGGCCCATGGGCGCATCTTGCCCCTAACCATACGTTAGGGGCGTCCCCACGGATCCCGCTCCAGTGTCTCCAGCATCTCGCGGCGGGCCTCGCTCTTGGCCCGCTTTATCGCTGCCTGAAGGGTCCTCTTGGCAACCCTGTAACCCGCTAACAGCTCCGCCTCTCTCGCTGCCGCATCTTCGGGGCGGCGACGCCTCCTGCGGAACCTGGACCACTGGCGGCGCGCGGTCACGCAGGCTTGACGCAGCCGTGCGATCTCCGGCGACCACCAGTAGACCTGGCGCCTTGCAGTATTGGGCTGAGCCCTAGGCATCGCCGCATCGCAGACGCGGGTCATGGCCTCCCGGAACCACTGTGCCTCAGCATCGACGTCGACAGGCCTGTCCGGCGCAGGAGCCCAGGCCTGTACGATGGCGGCTTCCAGGAGGAGGTCGCGATCTAAGCGCTTGAGCGCCCAACGTGGTTCAGGTGGTGCCGGTCTGACCGGCGCGCCATCTGCGGGGGCGGAGACGTCAAACCGAATATATCGGTGATCCGAACCTGTCTCCTCCCCGACAACGACGCGCCAGCCTTGGACACGACGCGCTAGCGAGGGGCATGCGAACGAGATGTCCACGATCGAACTACCCCTCGCCGTCACGAACGTGGCCACGGCCCCCCGGTTTAGGAGAACTAGGCCGAATCTTTCAGCCCAGTTCTCCAATGCCCTGCCCCTCGGGTTCGTGCGCAGGGAACCCCAAGCCTGCGACCAGGCGTTGAAGTCCCCCAGCACAAGAACCGGGTGGGGGCGACAGGCATCGACGACGACGGCCAGCTGAGCGAGCCATTGCTCGTACTCAGTTAGGTTTCGGTTCGGCGTGAAATAAGCGGCCACGACCGCTATATCTCCAACTATCGCCGCTACACAGCCCCGTCCCCTTGCAACTACTGCAAGAGGTGGAGTGCCGGCTGCGGTACCGTGCACTAGGGCCGCCGTGCCGTCCAAGTCGGTCTCCCAGGCAGGCCCGAGAAACCGATGGACATATGGCTCGGCGATAGCGGCGATGTTGATGGACCACTGTGCCATGCTCTGGAGCAGAAGATCCTGAGCATCGGCACCGTGGCCTACGTTCACCTGGAGGATGCGGAGATGTGGATCCATCACTGGACTTCCATCCCCGCATCCCGCAGCGAACTTTGCGGCTGTCCAGCGGCACTCTCCGTCTGGATCAGCGGCTCGGAGGCGGAAGGTCGGCCTCCCGGCTTCGGTCGCGATAGGGCACAGGCCTTACCACCAACCCGGTGGTCGGCAGGCTTGCCCCCCGCTGCGCACCTAAAGCAATGCAGCGGAGCGTTGCAGCCACCCGCCTTGTGACCGGGCTGGCCACAGCGGAAGCATCGGTCACCTACGGTGGCCTCCGCCGTGCAGTGCACCCCTACGTGACCCACCGACAGGCACCTGAAGCACCTTGCCGGTCGGGCCTGCAGGAGCCGTGCCTGCGCCCTCAGGAAACCTCCGACCAGGAGGCTCCGTCCATCGGCGACCTTCTGGGCCGCCGCGATGGGGCAGCTGACAACCGCTGCCCCCTGTCCACCGGGGCCGAAGCGTATTGCTCCGGCCTTCACGCTGTCCAGAGGGCAGCTTCCCGTCTCCGCCACGGCGAGTCTGAGCTCGTCCGCCGTGACAGAGTCGTCCAGGCCCGTGATGCGGACTTCGGCGCATTTAGTGGGCCTGGACACTCGGACGTCAGCTGCATCCAGTGACTCCCTCAGCTTAGCCGCTAGGGCATCGGCTTTGGGGCCACTGGTAGCGCCGGCTACCTCGAGGAGCCGGGCTCCCGTCCGTGTGTTTTTACACCGGACGCCCGGAATCTCGAGGGCTTTGAGGTCCACGTTGGCCTTGACTTTCGTCAAGACCTCGGCGTACCCCACGCCCCTCTCCGCTACCTCCGCCGTCAAAGTGATAACGACGGCCGAGGAGCGAGGGGCGCGGAGCTTCCTCGGCGCTCCCTTCGCGGCGGCGGCGGCGTCCCTCCTCGCCTTCTTGGCCGCTTTTTTGGCGGCCTTCCGCCTCTTTTTGTTGTCCCCGGCCACCGCCCAGCCCTGCTCCAACGAACGCTGTGCGGTGTCAGCCGGGGCCGAGACTGGGGCTTGGGTTGGGGCCGCCTTCCCCCTCCCTTTGCCCTTTCCGGTCTTCTGGGGCGGGGGGGCTGATGACGGCCCAGCCACCCTAGCTGCTGGCTGGGCTGTTAGGCCCGCCCTGGCAGCGGCCGCATAGGTTGCTCTTGGCGGAGCCAGAGGTGGGCGACAACGGGCGCTCTCTATTGCAGAGATGCGCCTCATAATTCGCTCCTCCATCTCCGCCACGAGTCGGACTAAGTCCGGCTCCTTAGGGGCGGACAACGCCACAGGTGCCGAAGACACTGGTGTGGCACCAGCGTGGGCACGAGCCTTGGCGAGATCCGCCTCGAGGCGGGCTCTCTCCCTAGCGTGGGCCTTGCTCTCGGCCACGAGGAGTCGTCCCGCCTCGATGATGGAGCGCACGACCGCTACCAGGGCCTCCTGTTCGGGACCCCTGGCTACCCCGGACGTCTGGAGCAGGCAATCGGCCACGCCGATTGCCTCCTCGATCCGGTCGACGGGGTTGACGGTTTTGCCTCGCAGCTCAACGAGGCCAGCACCCCCACCCCCGCTCCCCACATCAGTGGTCGACATCTCGGACGCGACCCCCTCCTCTCTTCTCCGTCCGAGACCCCCATCTTCGGCTCCTCCCAGCGCCGCGGGCTGGACCGCCACCTTCTTCCGGGCCACCATGGCCGTGGGGAGTCGGCCTCCGCCGCGAGCGCCTCTGCGGCTTGTGCCGACTTTGGGAGCCGAGGCCTCATCGCTCGAGGCCGACTCCAATTGCCTCTTCAGGCCCAGGCGAAGCGAGCGCCTTTTGCGCTTTGGAGTACCCTTCTGGTGCTGCTCTGCAGCTGAGACCATCGGGGTACTCGCTCCGCTCCTCTCCGAGGCAGTGTCGGTGTTCGACACTACCTCCAGGTTTTTTGCGTCCTCCGCGTTTTTTTGGGTGCCGGATTTACTGCTCGGCGACGGGCAGGTTAGACAAAGGTTGCTCCCCCCAGAGTACGTTTGGGAGCTGCCGGAGCCGTCTGGCTCCGGGAGGGATTCTCCAGACGCAGTGCGTCTGGTACCCTCCTGGGTAGATTTAATAATCTTTGGGCCCATGTCATGAAAGTAGTTTAACGTCCTTCGACGGGGACGCCTTCGGCACTGGACTCCCTCCAGCGACTCAGCCCCTTGCCAGGCGTCAGAACGTGGGCTTAGAGCATTTTTTATAGAGGTTTACGTCCTCGCGGATCCGAAGATCCACCGGTCCTGTCCATTCAGGATTACGGCTGGGCCGGACGGGGTCTGCACCAGACCGGGTCCGTCCGCCCCAGGGTTTTTTATAGAGGTTGCCTTCCTCGTAGCCCTCGAAGAGCCGTCATTCCTGACCGTTGCCAGTCAGGGTTACGACATGGCCGGACGGTGGTCTGCGTCAGACCAGTGTCCCCCACCTCTGGACAGAGCCAGCTGCAGTGGACCCGTCCGCCCCCAGCCCGCTCTCCCCTATGCCCTCTGCCAAACAGAGGGACACGCGGAAAGCGGCCCTCCGAACAGCCCTTGACGGGCCGTTCCCACCTCGGCCGGAATTGGCCGCAGGCAGCAGCGCCTCCCCCACCTAGGGAGAGAGGCGCTGCCGTCTCCGTTGCCCAGGGTGCACCACAAGGAGGTTCCGGACCACGCACCCCAACTTAGAAATACCCTGTGTCACTCTCACAACACACATTTAACATGAATCTATCAATGCTTCTCAAGCCAAAATACATAAAGCTGATTAGTGTACAGAGTACATTTTCTTTTGTTTCCACTCATTCTATCGTGAGAAAGCCATGGTTCAGCACAAATAGTCCTGCTCGATCACACAGCCTTTAATAGTACACTGCTGGACATAGGCCGCTCTAAAAAATGAGGTTTGGCCTACTATACCATGCTGGCCAGACGGGTTGATATAGGGTTGTTTTACATTTTCCTTCTCTTGTAGTGCTCTTGCCCTGCAGAGTTTGCTCAATGCTTTTAGGACACCCACGGGATGAATACATCCCGGTTACACTCCGTATTCTTAATCCGTCATTACATGGAGTAAAAACTGGTATTAACCAGTTCCTTTGTAGCTTTGCATCGAATAAGATTATTTTATTAAAAGGATTATGATTTTCGGGTGATCTTGAAGGGCTTCAACGCACTTGTGACTTTTGAGTTGTAGGTGGCATAAGGAGTTAACGGTAACGTTAACAGTGTTACGAGTTAAATTGTTCTTTTCCATCTCAAAAAATGCCCAATGCGCCTACAGAAGTTTTCACTTCAACAGAGTTGTCGGTAACGGTAACAGTGTCGCGAGTTCAATGGTTTTTTGCCATAAAATACATTCTTTTGTTCGTTTTTCAAAAATACCCAACGCGCTTAAAGAAGTTCTTACTTCTGAAAACTCTGATGTATTTCAGATGGTTGATTGGCAGGGGTAAGGTAAATGAAGCCATCAAGGTTCTTAGAAGATTTGAAAAAATCAATAAAGCAAAAATCCCCGATGATGTAATGGAAGAGTTTATTGTAAGTGTTTTCAAGTCTATATCAATTGTTTTTTTAATCTACCATCCGTTTTTGTGACTACCTAATACGACCTGATCATAGTTGGTCATTTCATCATCATCATCAACAGCGATCAGTCCACTACTGGACATAGGGCTATCCTTAGAAAGGAAGTTTTGCCCTACTCTCCCACGCTGGCCAGACGGATTGGTATAGGGCTTGTGTCAAGTTTTGCCCTACTCTCCCACGCTGGCCAGACGGATTGGTATAGGGCTTGTGTCAAGTTTTCCTTCTCATTGCAGTGCTATTGTCCTGCTTAGTTTGCTCACTTAATCGGCTCTTACGACATCCACGAGTATGAATAGGGGTGGTGACGGTAGAAGGTTACCATAGTACAGGCTATGCCTAGTTTGAGATCAGACGGCCGTCTGTAAGATGTGTCAGTTTATTATATTATTAATAGATTATTCTTTATTGTACACCACTGTATAACTTAACTAACAGATGAAATTAATCATATCAAAACGATCAATTAACAAAAGATTTTTTTCAGATAACTTCAAACAAGCAAAACTTAAAGGAAAGACAATCTTTTCTCAATGTGTTCAAAAGTGGTCCATTGCGTTTTGTGACAATTGGCCTGTTGATTTCTTTCACTGGATGCAATATGGTGTTCGATGGACTCATCCGTCTATCTGGTTCTTTTGGTTTGGACTTCTTCATCACGTTTACTCTTAACTCTGGGACGGAGATCCCAGCCCTTATTCTACTAGTTTTTATTCTTGATAGGTATGAACAACACATTTCAACAGTAACGCATCTTATTATAAAGTATACGATAAGTTTAAAAAACAATGAACTTGGTCTATCTGGTGACATTACATGGTCGTTTTAATATGATACTGATAACGAAAAAAAACAACTTGAAGAAATAGGTTGCAAAATAGATAAGACACCAGAAGATGCTGGAATGTCAGCCATATAAACCACCCAATCTCTGACAGAAAACATGAGTTTTCATGCTAATGCTCATGAACGAGATCATAATCAATAGTAAAAGTAATCTGATTAACGAATCCTGCTGAAATATCAAAATAACTTAAGGTTGATGGAACTACTATTCTTGTCACTTGAATGATTGGCACTCCATTATTGGAAACTTTTTTTTTTTTAACTAATACGACCTTATAAACCTTCAAGAAAGCGAAATGCCATCTTAATGGCCGACAACGGCACTGGTGGCAGTGTCGGTGGTGGTAGCCACAAACTAACAGTATACATCTGTGCCTTCTGTGATGATTGATTTTAGTAGAGTTGTACCCTTTTTGTGATTTTTACATAGAAATATTCAGATTTTATGTAAATATTTGCTGAGCACATTATTTTTCGTGCTTAGTGGTATAAGTGTGATTATTTGAATTTTCACATTTCATTTTTCAATAAATTTATCGTGAATATAATTAGAGTTATATCACTTTGAACAGATCCGAATCCGAAAAGACCAAGGTTTTAGCAAACTGATAATATTCAGCTAAATTATGAAAACAGGGCACTGATAACTAAAAAAATCTCATCTTTGGGGTAATATTTTTATCAATTGTTTGAGCAACTTTGCGCTAGGAGGAGGATATTGAGCTATTAAATATTTGAACATAATATATTAATTTACACCGACTTGTATCATTTTAACTTATAGATTTCACCAGTATGACTTTAAAATGTTTTTATCTACAAAGAAGGTATTCTATTTTAACCTAACCTATTAAGACCGTGAACTAAAATTTATCAAATCTTGTTTTTGTTCTTCTGTCTTATCAATTTCTTACTTGTATCACTTTTCATTGGAGGCACAGACATTTTAGCGAAATATATACATAATTTATATATATATTCTAGTGTGTAGTAGAATACTATGTAATATTAATAACATAATTTAACTAAAATACTATTCGATAGACTAGACTATCTTGAAATAAAAAATCGGTGGTGACACACGGACAGACGGACAAGAAAGTCATCTTATAAGTTCCTTTTTTTCCTTTTGAGGTACGAGCCCTAAAAACATTTTTTTTTTTATCAGAGGACGTTAGTACTCGTATGTCAGCCACACGAACGTTCTACAGAAAACCATTTTGTTCTTAGTCAATGAACTCAAAAAACAAGGTACTGGTAGTAATAGAAACAGATATTTAAAAGAATATTATTTTTAGATGGGGTAGAAGAAATCTCACTTGCGCATCACTGACCATGTCTGGACTCTTTTTAATTACGGCCATGCTCGTACCCAAAGGTATGATTTTACAAGAAATTATTAATGCGGCTGCTTGCCGTCAAATGGCTTCCAGTAAATGACAAGATTCTAACCACAATTTCTTATTCCGCAGGTATTCCTCAAGCAACTCTGGTAATATTTGCAAGGTTTTGTATTAACATGTCAATAACAACCGTCACACAATGGAACACAGAAATCTTCCCAACTCCCTTCAGAGCATCAGGGTCGTCTATCCTTCATCTGTTTGCATTCTTCGCTACTATGTTGACACCGTTCATTGTTTATTCAGTGAGTATTTTAGGCTGAATGACACATCCGAAGATATCGCAACACTAGTGCAATCTGGAAGTGTACTCTTCCCAGTCTCAGTATAGACGGGATAGGTTTTTCCCCAATGCAATAAAGATACTACCCGCTCGAAAACGAGAACTGCGTATTCTTAAACGTTGCGTCACCTAATGCCGTGTTCATCCAGAGAGAAAGCATGAGAAGTACGTAAGTGAGTAAATCTTTGAATGAACACATCCTTTGCGTAGATTGTTTTTTTTTTTTTTGTTTTGGGTTTTTTTTTATCAAAGCTCAAAGAACACCCAGTCAGAACAACAATTTATGGATCACAAAGTGTCGTCCCATGTGGGGATCGGACCCACAACACTCAGCGAAATAGTAAACGGCGTGGCGACCGCTTAAACCCCTACCAGTCTATTCGTATTTATATTTCCAGTTTAATAATCTTCACTTCCGTCATACTTTTAAAGCATCGAGCGGCTGAATCTGTTGATATATCATCCTTTTATCGGCTTCTCTCGTTAGTTGAACAGCACTCACGTTATCTTCAGTAGTTAGTCCAGTAGTTAGTTTGGTCCTTAGTTCTGCTTTTGATACTGTTGATCATGAACTTCTCCTGATAAAACTGGAACACTACGGTGTGAGAGGCAAAGTCTTGGACCTCTTCAAATCATACCTACATAATAGGCAAATGTTTGTGGAAATCAATGCAGTTGATAATAAGAATCACTATAAAGCTTACAAATCAAAAATACACCATGTAACAACAGGCGTACCGCAGGGTTCTATTTTGGGTCCCATTCTGTTCTTAGTATTTGTAAATGATCTCATAAATTTCGCACAGAGCTTAAATTCAAATGCTCAGCTAGTTGTGTATGCCGATGACACTAATGCAATAATAAGTGCAAGTGATTTAGAATTACTAAATCATAAAGTTAACAATGTCTTGTATGAATTCCACAGATGGTTTGCAGCAAATAGGTTAGTTATGAATACCACAAAAACAAACATTATTTTGTTCAAGTCTACTGCCCGTAATACAGATAGCTTGGCTGTACAATTTATGGGAGACAAAATTGACAATGTAAACACAGTCAAATTCTTAGGTGTACATATAGACTCGTTGCTGAATTGGCAAAGAGAACTAGATGCAATTGAGGAAGCAATATCATCCTCTTGCTATGCCCTTAGGAGTTTAAGAGAAGAAGTTAGCATCAGTCAACTAAGGACTGTATATTGTGCTCTAGTCGAATCAAGGTTAAGATACAGTGTCCAGTTCTGGGGTAATAGTTACAAGTATAATTGTGAAAAGGCCTTCATAATACAAAAACGGGCAATTAGAACTATGGTCCGAATACCGCAGTGGGAGTCATGTAGAGAGCATTTCAAAGAACTATCCATACTAACAGTCCCTTGTTTATACATACTGACCGTACTAAGCCAACTGTCAAAATACATTACTGATTTTGAAACTCAAGATGAAAGGTTAATCAGAGAGAGTACTCGAAGAAAGAACTTGAGAAACAATTTTATACCAACATTAAATATTGCAAAGCATTGTGCGCGTTATCAAAGTGTGAAACTATTTAATTGCCTACCTGCAGAAATAAAAATGGAAATCTATAAGACACACATATTTAAAAAAAGAGTTAAGGCCTTCTTATTGGAAAAATGTTATTATTCTGTAAATGAATTTACTGGCTCATCTTGTAACTGACATTAAAATCCTAGGGACATGTTGGGGATATAATTATTGTGTGATCTCTCGTTTCCTTTGACATGACAATTCTAACTGGCATTTAGTTTGCATTAAGTACCTGTTTGAAATTTAATTTATTTAGTTTGACATTATTATTTTTGACATCAAGTGATTCATTTTGTTAATATGACTGGTTGGAGTTGTGAATGTTATATGTATATTTGAAATGTTTTTAACTTATTTTAGATGGTTTAATGTGAATTGTTTTTAGAGATTATGTGTTACTTTTCTTTTCTCACTATTATGAAGTATTATATTCAGACACAATTGTAATAAATTGTTAATGAATTAAATAAATAAAATAAAAGTCGCTATAGAAGGAATCCTTCTCGAGAATTATTAGTGAGTTTGCTTCGACCACGTTTAAACTCATAAACATAAACCAGTTGTAAATAGTGGCGCGAGATGAGGTTTCGTAATAAAATACATATCGGAGTCTATTGTAACATTTTTGTGACTGAGTTCGTCACGTCACGAAAATTTTCTCTAATTAAATCCATTTAGATGAACGACAGACACTTTTTGAATACGGTAGATGACTGACAAGTCTAATCAGTGTCTTTTTTTTAAACGTTAAACGCTAGACGTGGTGCATTATTGTATGAAATACTATATCGTGACGTCATACCTAGCTATTGTCAAATCATTTATATTTAATGTTGATATCAAGATATCAAATATAAAAAAACATTAATTTTTGATGGACGACAATTCAAGTTCTTATTTAAGACGTTACATTTTATGATGAATAATTTATTTTAAACCTAGTAATCTACCCTATTGCCGCCAATTAGTAAAAACAAATGAAGTCCAAAATTATAATCAACACCTGAAGATTCCCAGAGTTCCTAATTTGAAATTTAAATAAATTTTTCATCGACTACTTTTCGTACTGGCCTCTTCTAAAACCTGCTATCACACATCTATAATACGAGTATATAAAATAAGAAACTGACTGACTGATTGATCAACCCACAGCCGAATCTGCTGGGTCTAGAAGCATGAAATTTTGCACATTTATTTCTTAAGTGATGTAGGTGTGTTCTAAGAGAGGATTTTTAAAACTTTCCACCCCTAAAGGTTTCAATCGAAGTGATTGTAAATTTATATGAAACTTCGTTATTTTTGGTAGTAGCGTTTTCAAACACACATTAAATACTCTTTCTTAAAAGTAATAAATAACGTTGTTACAAGTTTTTTCAAAACTATCTTTACAAAGTCTGTATGGGGAACTATATTTTTTTTTACTTTTCAATTTCAAACTCTCAATATAATTACTACGATGTCTGATATTGACCACTAAACGGACGAAGTCGCGGGCTAAAGCTAGTTATATATATATATTACCTATGATGTGCCTGATGGTCTAGTAGTTAGTGACACTAACTGCTTAGACAGAGGTTCAATTCCCACCCAGGACAAATATTGTAATGAGGCCGATTATTTTATATATATATATTTAATTTCTTTCAGGAACGCGTTTGGAGTTTATTGCCGCTACTAATATTAGCCGCAATAGTATTAGTGACAGCTAGTGTTAGTTTGACATTGCCAGAAACTAAAGGACTGCAACTGCCGCAGACTGTGGCAGATGGTGAAAAAATTATCAGAGAACAATCATTGTGCGGGTGAGACGTCTTTTTTTTTGTTACTGTTTAATCGGCTTTGAACGTATTTAAATTAAGATGAAGGAAGAACAAGTGTGCTGCTCTGGGGTAGGCGCACCTTAAGCTTTGTAAATTTAATCAGCAAGAAAAAAATGTATATTAAATGTATTTAATTGTACCTAAACTCAATAATAAAAATGTATATCTATAGTTTCGTTGTAAAAATAAAATCAATTGGGGCCCGCTGCAGATGATAATTCCGTAACTGAAGGCTTTTCAAATTCTTTTATGACACCATAAAAATGTATATATAATGTATACTAATCTACTATACTCTATTTGATAATTAGTTTAGTCTGTACCAATTTACGACCACTTTTTTAGAGCATTAGAAAAGCGCCTGGTAAAAAGGTTATGGCAAAGTCTTCTTTAGGAGTAAGTGAGCTTAGCTTTGTAACAAGGCGTTGGCGTGTTTCGTACTTGAAGGTTTATGACACCTTAAAAACGTATTTTAAAAGCATACAAATCTACTATATTTGGTAGTCAGTTTAGTCTTTACTAATTACGGATCAATTTTAAATTTCCGTCCGGATCATTAGAGAAGCATTATCATTAGACATTTATAATGAACAACGCTACAGCTACGCTAAAGACGACTTGCCAGAAGGAAATTTAAAAGTGGTCGTAAATTTGGTATAGACTTAACAAATTTTTTTATTTTTTTTTTTATTATTTTTTTTTAAAGACAACTCCCGCATTAGGAATATATCCTGTGTCTCGGGGGACTTTACAAACATACATGAAACGGACACAAAGAACATCCAGACTTAGAACAACAATTTGTGGATCACACAAAGTGTCGTCCCATGTGGGGTTTGAACCCACAACACTCGGCGCAGTAGGAAGCGGCGTGGCGGCCGCTTAAACCACTGCGCCATCCGTGCAGTCAAATGATATTATAATATATTATAACATATTATAATAATACATTGTTATAGTGTCTTAAACAAACTTAAAAAGCCTTCAGTTACGGAATTATCATCTCCAGTGGGCCCAAATTGATATCATTTTTACAACGAAACTATAGATCTACAGTTTTTTTATAAAGTCTACAATTAAATACAAATAATATACATTTTTTTCTTGCTGATTAAATTTACAAAGCTTAAGGTGGGTCCGCCTCGGAGTAGCACACAAGAACAACCCAATTAGGAATTACTTATTTTTTCCACTACAACTGACTACTTTTGAATAATTCATATTTACAAGATTAATAAAAAACAACCGTGGGAGAGTCATGCTTCAGCACAAATGAGCCAAAGTGATACTACCGTCTCACAGTAATCTTTTGTACCCCCCCCCCCCCCCTTCCTCTGGGAGGGAAGGGATTAAAGGGTGACAATTCACTTGTGACTCCTGAGTTGCAGGTATCCATGGCCGTCCATGCTCATCGCCCCCTTATCTCATAAAAAAAAAGATCGCTCTTTTGACCTTCGCATTATTAAGGGGTTCTTATTTCTGATTAAATTCGTTGCCGGTTCTGAGACTATTTATCCATGGACTTATATGTATGACATTCTCGGTATGCTACTACTGCAACTCTTGATCCTGCTTGCAGCAAAATGTGATTTTGTAATCTGAAACTAATTTTCAACTACTTTCAAGGAGTCATTACAATTACAATCAAATTTAGGTGCAATTTTAAAATCGTAATGTCGTGGTATAGCAACAGCTTAATCTAAGTATATTATGTGTTATTTTAGGAAACCAGAAGGTAAAGACGAAGGTCCATACCAAAGAGAAAGCACTAAAGGTCATTAAAGAAGAAAGAAAAACTTTAGAGAAGGAGATCCGAAACAATAAATATAGTTTAGTAATTCTTTATTTATTTATTTATCATTTCCAAGCACTACAACTGAATTTTACGAATAAAAATATTAAATGATGATGATGAAAATGATCCTCATTTGAAAAACAGCTACTGCAGTTAATGATCCTGTAGCAAAAAGAGTTGGAATTTGCTTGGAATTATGATTATAATTGTACTTAATTAATTCAAATTAATTAATTAATTTGATTGATTGCAATGCTGTGCGCATTTTTTTGTAATTAATTAATTTGATTGATTGCATTGCAATCAATTCAATCAATTAATTAGATAGATAGATAATACTTTATTTGTACATCAGGGTTTTACAGACAGTATAAAGTAATCAAACGAACAACACAATATGTGTTTGTGATTTTCTCGAAGGAAATAATTGAAATACAACCAAGTATAGTGTATGTGTCTGCTGTGGAAAGAGGGAGTCGCACTACGCAACATCGAACAAATCACTCTCCAGAGTTACGACGAGACCACAGCACAGCACAGTTTAATTATCGGTTGACCCAGATCAATCGGACATAGGTAAAGGAGGAACCGGTGTCACTTGGGAAGGTGATTGCCCCATAGCCTCTCTCAAGGCACTAACATAGGACGGGTCTTATCGCCTCTACAATGGAGTATCCCATCTTATAATATACTTTCTGAGACCCGCGGTGTTACCCGCGTTTGTTGTTATAACCGCGGACAACGCCGCGGGGCGAAGATAGTCTAAAAAAAGTAGCCTAAGTTACTCCTTATGTCATCAGCTATCTGCCAGTGAAAGTCCCGTCGAAATCGGTCCAGCCGTTCCAGAGATTACCCGGAACAAACAGAAAGACAGACAAAAATTGTAAAAAATGTTATTCTGGCATATGTCCCGTGTAAACATACATATCGCCGGCCCCGGAGAATAAAATGGTAATCGCAAAAACTTAACTTTTCAGGAAAAATAAAAAACCAGTTTTTGTCTATAACTTGTCTGATAATAGACTTAGATAATCCAAAAAGGACTCAAATGAAAGCTAATTTTTGAAGCTTTTAAACTATTTTAATAAGCCTTTAATTGGATCAATCAAATTCAAGATATTCAAAATTTAAGAAGTTAGTAAAAAGATAAAGTTAGCGTAATTTAGTATTACACACTTATCATTTTGTTCTCGTCATTTTATTACAAATTGAATATTGTAATATCCTATTACATTGATATTCAATTATTTGACAGCGCTAAATTATGGAAAAATATAGTATCTTACCATTTTATTCTCGTTCATACGGGATATCAATAATAAGACAATAAAACTTAGGGCTATTATTCTGGTTAAGCAAATAAAATAAAGTTATGTTAATCAGATTTTACTTAACTTTAAATGCACAAGAATTTTTTTTAAAAGAAATTAGTCGTCCTGATTTTCATTATCAATAAATCTATGGCTTTCAGAATTACTACTTTCATAAGTCAGAGATTCGTAGAAAGCATGGTAGAAAACTGGGATCGCTTCTGATCTACACAAGCTCATAAGGTCATCGTGTAAAGCCTTACTTGGCGGCAAAGGTTCCCTATAAGCCACATTCAACTGAAAATCACTGACAGAACCTGGTGTAATAGGCGCTGTCTGTTTCATACCTCTCTTGCTTCTAGCTTGTTTGACATTCTTGTTTGACACTGTTCGACATTAAGTTGAGAATACTCAGCATCAAAATCATATTTAAAGCGTAGAATAGATGGCTGTGAATGTAAAACGTTTACTTCCATTACCTTAGACCACATTATTTTCTGACCTTCTTCATTATTGTCCCAGTTCTTGTTTTTTATCAAATCCTTTATGTTAAAGAACTCATTTTGTAACATTTCCTTCACAATATATTTCTCGCCGTTGATTTTAGCATTCATAATGATAGCATAAATCTGTTCGGTGTATATACGACCCTGTGTTTTAATTCACGTTCAATACTAGAGTGCATGGAATCGCCTTCTCTCTGGCCATGGCCTGTTTCGAAAAATCTATGTGTTATATTTATTTATATAGTTTCTGAGCAGCAAAACTGTATAAAGCAAATATAAATCTGTTTTTGTTTTGTCCTGCACAACCATCTGAGTATAAAAAAATGTTTTTCATACCTCTTTCCTTCTCACTTAAGAAAAATTGCCACAGGCAGCTTCCTATTTCTATTGCTCCTCTTTTTGCAATTGTGTGGTGCCAGACATAGCAGTGACCTTTAAGTCTAGTACTATCAAAAATAGTTCGTTTGTTCGTTTAAAAAAGACAACTCCCGCATTAGGAATAAATCCTGTGTCGCGGGGGACTTTACAAACATACATGAAACGGACACAAAGAACAGCCAGACTCAGAACAACAATTTGTGGATCACACAAAGTGTCGTCCCATGTGGGGTTTGAACCCACAACACTCGGCGTAGTAGGAAGCGGCGTGGCGACCGCTTAAACCACTACGCCATCCGTGCAGTCGAGTAGTAAAGTTGTAAATAGGATATTTCCTCTTATAATGAAATATTCCAACTGCAGATTATGGAATATTTAATACCTTCCCTAAATTGAAGATTGCTATGGTTGTATGTGAAGAATCAATGGATTCCTATTCTTCTTTTTTAATTTGACGTACTCGATCTTTGCTTCTTTGGTGTTTGTCATACTTATCTTGTAATGTCGCTTATCGAACAGAATCAGCTTCTCTGTAAAGAGTGCAAGTGGAGCATTGGTCTTTTTTTGGTTTAAAAAATGAATAATTGAACTTGGTGTTAAAAATGTTTTCATATTGCCGTTTAGAAGCTATCGGGCAGTCATAATTTCCCTCTTGGAACCGACTTTGATATAGACGGTACATTTTACTCACATTAAGTAGCTCTGATAGATATTGTCTGGCAGAATCTTTTCTTACATAATGTGACTCGACTACAGGGAACTATTGAATATATTGGATGATATTTTCCTCCACTTTTAGAAGCATTTTACGTGGCCTGTTATTATCGTGCCCTCTGTTATCAACTAAGCCTTTGTCAGATTTGACTTTTTCTAACGCCGTATAAACTGTCTGATGCGAAAAACTGAATTTAAAATGAAATAAAAATTTGAAATGGTTTAAGCCATTTTGGAAATAACATGAGTGGCTGCTTTTATGTAATCAGAGTCTAAACCAATACTTGATGGTGTTTTAATAAACCGGTTTGGGCTTGGCACATTTTCAGAAACATCTGGAGAAAAGTCTTCATTAACTTCTTTATCGTTATTTTCACAATATTGTTTTTTTGTTGATTCTGTAAGACAAGATAAGAAAAAAATCATCGAATATCTCATAAAACTACCTCAAACTATGATAGGCCAAACTGGTTCAGCAGGTCAAAAAAGTTACGCTGTAGTTCAAATTTACTTCCTCCAGTAGACCTGCGGGTTTTTACCTTGACCTGGCGGAGGGGGCTCAGTAGTCGTGAGTTGGAGGATGGCAACTCTTAACCCACGTTGAGGCTAACGGGAACCATAGAAGAAGCTGCATCCTCGACCTTTCGGTGCAACGTGACGTTCTTAACTGCTAAAAATTAAATGAATACGAGTATAAAAACACATTTAGGTACCTACCACGTAAACCATATTCATGATGATGCTTCGTTGTTTCTTCTTCATTTGTATTTTCAGGTAGTAAATTATGTGAAAATAATAATATTATTTTAATTTTGCAGACATGATAAAACATATCTCTCAAGTACTCATAGCTCTCAAGCAGGTCATGCAAACAATTGGTCCGACCCGGGAATAGACCCCGATACCTCAGAACAGCAGTCGCATATGCTACTACTGCAAATCCGAGGCAGTCAAGTCTCCCCAATACAGAGATTAATTATAAATTTTTAATGAAATCAAAATAATAAGAAGAAAACCACAGTACTTACCGTCGTTGCAATGGTTCAGATCCGCGAGCTTTCTCATAATAATATTAATCCTCGAATTCCTTTGATTCATATTAAAATACCTATATTATGACGAGGAAACTGTTTTCTGATTATTATACAGCCAACTTTAAGATAATATTAATTGTCTTAATACAATCACACTTACGCACGATAATTACTTTTATTATCTTGAAATCTTTTGAAAACGGAATTATGATACTCATGCAACGAAGTTTTAAGAGACAGTAATCAAGTAAACAAACATTGGCATGTGCGAGTATTTAGGCGAGATGGTGTATAGTGTCATCACTCACTAACATTTGAATCACTATGTTCACTAAGGTAATGTTAGTCGCTGCACTTAAAAGCTTTTGAACGAGAATAAAATGATATTGGCGTTTATAATTTTATCGTTGATTTCTTGCACGAGAATATAAGTGTAAAAGCTATTGCTATTTATTGTTTAATGAAACAATTATATCAATAGTGTCTGGTAATCTTATTCGCGTTAATGTGCGCCTCAGAAAATTGGACGAATAATATTGTAATATTTTATAACTTTGTGAATAACGATAGAAAAATTACGAAAAAAATTGAATGGATGTATTGGGCTCTGTAGACTCCAAATATGACATAACACTAAAACTATTGTAATGACAGTTGTCATTTTATTCTCCGGGGCCGGCGATATGCATTTAGTAAAAAGTTATTTTTTATATTACAAACAGACACTCCAATTTTATTTATTTGTATATGTATGTATAGATAATTAATCGATGAATGACTGTGTAGTCATAGTCCGAACGACAGCAAACGCTTAATCAGTATTATAATTTATATAACCTACTAGCTGACCCGGAAAACGTTGTATTGCAAAACAAAAAAAAATTAGAGATGGGTCACCCTTACCGTTTAGGGGTATGAATAATAGATGTTGGCCGATTCTCAGACCTACCCGTTGTGCACACAAAATTTCATGAGAATCGGTCAAGCCGTTTCGGAGGAGTACGGGAACGAACATTGTGACACGAGAATTTTATGTATAAGATAT